GGTCTATGTAAAGTACTGTATACAGTATACAGTAGTACACCCGTGAACACAAAAACATAAACAATTGTTTTATTAGAATACAAGAATTTCCACATGTGTTTTAGTTTTCTAAAAGGGTTTGTCTGAGTTAGAGTATTCAGAAGTATTTATGAATCATTAGCTAGATTTAGTTTTTTCCTTTTTTTGCTTTAATTAATCACAATATGAATAAAGCCTGGATAATCGAATTACATCTGAGCTGAAGTGCCGATTTTAAAGGTAACTGGATGATAATGGCAACTAGAAAAGGAAGTATTTATCTACATGAAAATGTCAAAAAGCTGTCAATCCAGTAAATTAATGTATAGCATTTGTTTCTTCAAATTATTCTACAGAGAAAAATATGAATGATCTACGGTGCACCATTATTTTTTTGCCCACTGACAAGTTCAGAAACACAGTTCAGACACAATACAGTACCTCTCCTTTAAGACGATATACACATGCCTTCTCAAAGTTTGTGATTTTTATTTTCCGTTTTGTCTCTGCTGTTTCAAAAGGAGCTGTCCCAGCTTTCAGCAGGTCCAGAATAATTGTGGCTTCATTTAAATATGACAAAGCCTGTTGAAAGTCAAGTTCATTTGATAAAAGATGAATTAAAAGCCAAGATTGTTTTAGAAAGTTCAAATAAAAAAAATGAAACACACCTTCAGATTGTTGGATAAAAATGATGCTGCAGCAGCTGTCTCTAGCAGATAATAAAATGTCTTTGGAACATCGCCCACGCCCATCCAGTGTCGTACCATGGGAGATAACACACATTCCATGATCTCTGCACATCTGCAGTGTTTACAGCTCTCCTCCACTACTTTACAGTCATCCAACTTGCTGTCTAATTTGGTCAAGAAACTGCTCTCACAACTGCAGGGAAAATGGCGTGCAAAATGTATTTTTAAAGTTAATCATAAATTAAATAGTATAAAAGACAGGAGATAATGTATTCTGTTTGTTTTACAAAGAAGAGTTGCAATTACGTACAAAAAAACATTTGCCAATGAAAAAAGAACAAGAATCTTGTTAAGATGGGAAAAATGTAGCAATTTAATTGTGCTTTATACAAGCTTAGAAGTCTAACTTTTTGAAAATGTCCAATTTAAACAGTTCATGTTCTGATCTAACTGGATGGGACTTGTAAGAATTTTTTTTTTCCAACATGGACATAAAGTGTTAAGTGTTGCTTTATTTGATATACAGGATTGGCCAGATCCAGCCCACTCAGTCCCAGCAGAGTTGGGCCAATTCTGCACCACCACCTGAGCATTCCTAGTCATAGTCTGCAGTGTGTGTACTATAGAGCCTTAACTGCACTCCAAACAAATGCCTTTAGCACTTGAACCATATGGAAGCCCCCATCTGTTAAGTTTTTTTAAAACATTTGGTAAAAATCATAGCATGTCTGAACCCAGGTTGAGCCTGGCACAGGATTTGTTGCCTACCTGCTAGACTGCATAGGGGAAACTCTGTTGTTTGTCAAGGATGGACCAAATATCCCAGAACTCTCTAAGTAAAATATGCAACAGGAGCTATTAAATACAGTACAAATATTCATTTCATTTCAAGGTCTGCTTTTTATTTGGTGCTTGTCATTTCAAGCATAAGTACCAGATGGTATAGAATATAAATCTACACATTTACTCAATATAATGTGGTTAAAATAGAGGTATCTATTATAATATTGGTTAAATAAACAGTAACCCCTTAGTTAAGGGTGTTTATTTACTAAAAAAAATGTACAATGTCTAGAGAGCAGGTGTTTTTTTAAATAATGTTGTTTAACTGGAATTAGAAATAAGTAACAGCAAAGTCTGCTCTAGGGAAAAATACCCTTCCTTATTATTTTTGTGTTGCTTACCCCTCTGATATCTCTGATGCACCTGTTGTGATGCAAAATTGTAATCTTCTGCCTGTTGCTTGTTTAAGACATCAGGGCTGATTTCAATGATAGTTGACCCTATAGCTGCCTTATGTCCAAATATAAACTCATCACCCCCACAGCTATTGCATCTATGGGCTTGTTTCAAAAGGTACCCAGCACATTTACAGTGAATTTCTTTTTTCTGATCCTTAAGCCACAATTCATATGCTGTTTCCTTCACAAGAGTTGTGGAAAATCTCATTACTTTGCATTTCCACACAGAGTCACTTGGATCAGAAGCCTTACTGGGGTGCTCTGGTTAAAAGAAAAAAAAATAGTAATTAATATATTTTGCAAAGGAATGTTTTGTTTTGCTTTAAAAGCTATTAATTGTACTCCGTGTTATACTGTACACACAGCATTTTGATATTTTATGTCTCACTTTCAAACTTTCAATATACTGTACAGATACAGACAAATTCTGTATATTTGTACATTTGACCATATAATATTTTGGAATGGAGTGAAACAATGTTTGGTCAGGGGCAGTGTGAAATATTTCAAGTGATTTTTTGAAATTTCCTTTACCTTACCAAACTATCGTGAATGTTAAATTCTCCAAAGTAATCAATACGTAATCCCAGATTTTATTGTTGCACATGCTACATTGTAGTTTCTCTCCTGTAAAGTTTCTATGGTATGTATGAAGTGGTGACTTACCCTTCTCATCTTTTTTGTCATCCAGTGGACAAAAGCAGTCTAACATATCTGAATGCTCAGTTTCTTTTGCAAATGGATGCCAGGTTTCAGTATGTCCGGAGGCACATTCAAAAATGTGTGACCTGAAAAGTGAAACTAGGGACTGGTTTAACTTTTGATCCATCACCTCAGGCAATATGTATTGAAGCATCTGAGTGGTAAATGTGTGCCCAATTATTGCTGCAAACTTAACAACCATTTGCTCTGCAGGCAGCATGTGATCAAGCTGAGACAGAGCCATGCCTGCAGTACACAAAAAAGTAAAAAAAATGGAATAGTATAAAACTCATATCGAGAATAATATAATTCTTGCACTTTAGGTGAATTACATCAGCGGTTCCAAAGTGCTTTCAGTAAAATTCTGAAATATGACATATGAAAGAACAATTCATATTGAGTTTTATTGATATTTAAATGTTTCAATATCAAATGTTTAGTGATACCTTTCAGTGCAAGAGGAATTGGGATTTCGTGCAGCTTTGCTGCTTCTCCAATGTGACAGACAAATTTGCGGTCAGAGGAAGCTTTATCAAGGGCTTTGACCTTCCGGGTTTTTAATAGCTCTGTCTTTGCAGAACCTATGAAGAAAGCATAGCAAATAAGCACATTAGTAGAACTGGTAGTAGGTAAATCAGTTTGCTTTCAAAAACTTCTTCTGACAATTCTGTTAAAATAGCTTTTTATACCTTCTTCAGGATTCCAAATCTGACTGACTTTAGATTTTTTAATGACTATTTGTGGTTCTGGAAACAACATATCTATATCATCATCTTCCTCTTCATCATCCATTTCCTCCAACACAATCACAGAACTTAAATAGAGGCTCTTTAACACTTCTTCACAGTAGTATGGAACTCCATGACTTCGTTCCACCAGAAATCTAAATTCAATTTTGTAGGAAAGAAATTTTTTTGAAAAGCAATGCAAATAATAGATTAGGAAAATGTGTACAGTATATCTAGAAATTCCTATAAGCATCATAGAGGGTGATACTGATGCTTTCTGTCAGTTCAATTGCAAATTACTGTAACTCTAATTACTGTAACTTACTAAAAAGAAACCAAAGTTAAGAGAACACATATTTTATTCCTAGACCATTGTAATAGCTCAGAACAATCTTATTCTAAGGGGAAAACAAATGTATTCAACTTACAGTTCCACCTCTCTTGGAATTCTGATGACCCCCAGTATTTGACAAGCTAGCTGTGCAATTACAGATGCCTCCAGCCCGGACAATTTCACATACAGTGTTCTGGGATTTCTTATCACTTTGTTAGCTGCTGGAGAAAGTGAATTCTGGAGGGGCAAACGACGCAGTGCCATACTCATGAAGACCGGAGTTTTCTCACATGCTTCCTTAATGAATTCCCATGAAACTGGATCAATATAATGTGCCTCATCAATAACACACAGGCATGGTTCTTCTTCAACAATCTATTAGAAATGGAAATTATAGCAGAACATACATGCATATGGAGTATTCTACATTATAAATTAGAAGAGGTGGCTGAAACAGGACACAGTGTTAATGAAATTCTGATAGTATTTGAACACGCGTTAATGAAATTCTGAAATTGTCCGAACAAGGTCATACAGTATGCTCAGAAATTCTCAGATCCGTGACCTGGATTTGACCCTGTCCTCCAAAGATGGCCCATTAAAGGGGAAATCTGGTGAAGATAAAGTAAAGCATACTGGTGCAGAAGAGTTTGTATTGGCAACTCAGCCTGTTTGATACAGACATAAGCACTAGTAATGCGCGGGCTGACTCACACTCGCGGGCGGGTGCGGGATTACACACGGGTCAGGCGGGCTCTGGTCACAGAAAAGGTGACTCGCGCATCACTATTGTTTGGTGTAATTTCTAATGGGGCGGGTTCGGGTCAGTACTTTTATCATTTCAAAATGGGTCGCTTGGGTGGGAGTTCGTTTCTCACAAAAAAAGCCTTGCAGCAAGAGTTTAAAATCACCGATATCTGGGGTTAATTTTTTATCCTCACTGTGAGGAGGGATGTGCAGTAAGGGGGTTTGAAATGTTCAACGTTTTCAGGATATAATAATGCCAATTCAATCATAAAGCCAATTATAATGGGAAGAAGGAAAGATAACACACAAGGAATATTAAGGCTATAATCAAAATTGGCAAAAATGACTGAATGAAAATGGATGTGTTAGGATCATTTATCCTTTGTGTGTGTTACAAAACCTCTACATTATACAGTATGTCTCAGCAATTAACAATCTCATTTCTGGTTTGCACTCTACTGTCTTCATCACCACTCCTTTCCCTTCTGAGTTATAAGAAAAGATACTAACCATGTGAAATACATTAATAAAGAATGTCTTCATTTGCTGAGCTTTATCCTTTCCTTCCAGAAGAGAGACTTTTTTTGAAAGTGGAAACTAAAATGAAAAAAAAAGAAATATACAGTAGCGAATGATCAAATATTTTAAAAATTGAGCTATTTAAAACTTTTGATTGTAAGACATACATTGAAAATAATATCAAACAATCTCAGAGCGTTTACCATGCTGCAGATACAATTTACAACACCTTAACAAGAAGGAGATCATTGAAGAAGCAAAGGTAGTCTTGCTGGTCAGGCTGCCTGATCTTGCTAACTAAAACCTTTTCACGTTCAACATAGCTCTTGCAGTTCGACACAGACAGTAGATGTGCCATTAGGGTTTGAACTGTGTAGAATGGCTGTTTGATGTCTGTCTTTGCAAGCTCAAAAGAAATAACTCTGTGAAAAAAGCAAACATATTGGATTTAATGTTTTAACAAGCTTCTGCAACTCGTACTGTAGTAGCAAAGGAACAAGTAATAGGTTTATTCCATGCTGAAAAAAAGAAAAGAGACAACGTTTCGGCCGTGGAGCCTTCTTCAGGTGTGAGAGAGACAAGGCAGTAGGCAAAGGTAATGTAGCGGGAGAACAAAGGCTGGGAGGGAGGAGGAGTGAGAGGTGGGAGCAGGGGACAGAAAGAGGCCAATCAAGAGGTGTGAAGTCAGAATAGGTGTAGAGAGGTGTGAAATGTAGTCTGGCGTTAAGAGAAGAGAAGGGGAAATGTGTGATCCTAGCTGCAGGATAAGTATGGTTTGGGTTTTCTGATGTATGAGTTCGGAAAACCGTCTTTGAGAACAGGGACGGAGAGATTAGAGTGGTCGTGGGCGTCAGAGGTGAAATGAGAAAGAATAGGCTTGGAGAGATCTTTAATCTTCACAACCCTGACATGTTCTCTGTAGCTGTCTTTGAGTCTCCTTCCTGTTTCTCCAATGTAGATGGCTGGGCATTTACTGCAAGAGATACAATAAATAAGGTTGCTGGAGGTACAAGATGCCCTCTGGGTGATGCGGAATTGTCCTGAGGGGCCTTGAATGAGTGTAGTGTTGGATGTATACTTGCAGGTGAAACAGCGAGCTCTGACACCTGAAACAGCTCTGAAACAGCTCTGAAACAGCGAGAACCCACCTGAAGTACTGTAGTAGTACCACTCCCTGTGATTCTCTAATGAGTATTTTACAGAGTATTTCATAAAGCAGGCATACTGTAGTTAATATGGACAGCATACTGTATAGATCTACAAATATTTTCAATTTTTGTTTCTCAAAAAATCAAGCAGCAGGGGAAGATATTATTTGTATTATATTGGTATTAAGGTATTATATTATTGGGATTAAGGTATTATTGTATCAAGCAGTAGTTAGCATTGCTGTCTCACAGTTCTGGGGCCCTGGGTTTACTATCTCTGTGGAGTTCTCCCTGTGTTCATGTATGCTTCCTCTGGGTGCTCCAGTTTCCTCTCGAAGTCCAAAGAAACATTCAGTGAGGTTAATTGGCTTCTGGGGAAAGTGGCCCTAGGTGTGAGTGTGCGCAGATCTGTGTGTCTGCCCTGCGACAGACTGGTGTCCCAGGGTATACCCTGCCTTGAGCACGTTCCTTTCTGGGATAGGCTACTGCTTCCCCCATGACCCGGAATTGGAAGAAGGAGTTATAAAATGTATGGATATATCAAACAGAACATAGCACACACCTCAATCCTTCTTTAGCTGCTTTGAAAACAATTTCAGCCAGGAGACGGCTTTTTCCATAACCAACAGCTGCCTCGTATATAACCACATTGTGGTAGTCTTTGGAACCTGATTTTCTGCATTGCAAAAAATGCTTCAACGCATTGGAAAAGACTTCCATTTCTTTTTCTCGCCCTAGTGGGAAGCATGCATGTTAAGTATTGAAATGATTACCAAACGTCTTCAATTTTAAAAAGGCCATTCTGAAACAGATATTGTTCTGAAAAAACATATTGTTTAATTGCATTCAGGCCACTTATAATCCTTATGGTTGAATAACAAAGTGGATTAGGAATTAAAAACAAATTTATGATTAGATAAATTCCAACCTGAAAAGTAATTAACCTTAGGAATGGAAAGTTACGTTCTACTTGAAACAATTACCATAGCACCATATAGTCCTAATTGTTTAACTTCCACTAATTAATTTTACAGTCTGAATGCTTTGTCTTTGTCAAAAAAACACTACCTCTTAAAAAGGTATAGTATACCTGTAGCTTGATAAACAGAAAGTTCTGTTGTCATTTTTGTTTAAACAATACAGTATAACTCACCTAAAAGGGGATAGTTCTCCTCTCTTTCAACTGACATAAGTGCTTTACCAACAGTTCTGAAAAATGTTTTTTTAAGACATTTTAAAAAATCCTTGAAAAAAAACAATACTGAACATGTGCAAGCAAAAATATACATTGTATATCCACTGTGCACTCACTGTATTTAAATAATTCTTAAAATAACTCACACTAGGTCATTTTATTTTTGAACAATAATGGATGAGTGCAAGCCTGATATATATATATCAACTTCCCACTTCATTGCTTAATATTAAAGAACCAAACCTGTAATAACATACTATAGGTCATTTGGATAATGACTTTACATTGAGTCCTTTTGCAAAACAATGATATTGATATTGTACTAATACTCATATCACCTATCTTTGCAGACATATTGTTAATATTAAATAGAACCAAATGACCAGAATTAAAATATATTATGTTAAAGACATTTTTTAAAAATTATTCATGTCATAACGTATCCTGCAGCAGAATATTTTGTTATGTTTAAAGCTCTATAAAGGATTGTGTAAAATTCTAAAAAATGTGCATTGAGTATGTTGTAGTTAAGGGTAATTAAAAACTTTACATGTTCACTTACTTTTGATGTTTCTTGGCCAAGTATTGATAGATGATCCCAGGGTTCTGCACACCTTTCATGGCTTTTTTTGGTAGTTCATTGAAGTAGAAAGATGGAAGTTTTGAATAACAGTACGTCTCCCTGTCACAGGAGACTACTCCAGGGTAGTTCATCATTAACCGAGCTGCCAAGTTCACCTTCCGACCAATAACTGAAAGATAATTATTGAAATCCAGTTCACAGGTTGTTTAGGTAGCAGTTGGAGTAGTTGTTAGTGCCATTAGTGGAACTTGACTAACCAGGGTACTGGTCTACAGTGTATATATTTTTATGGGCTCCCCCTCCCCTGACATCACACTCTAGCAATATCAGAATAAAGTACCCTTTTATTATTTTGAAATTCATTCCCTGACACTAAACCATGGTGGTGACCCATGGCATCTGTTAAAAATTGACACAAACCTCCATTTTTATTCTTCTGTTCTTTTCCCCACAGAACTTTCATTTGTAATTAGCATATCTACGTTTTAATTAAATGTTATATCCATACAACCACCCCAGATTTAGCCCTGGTCTTACCTGGATATTTTTATTAACAAGCAAAGGATGAGAGAATCTTTAGATCATTTTATATAAATCTTTAACAGGTTTGATAGGGTAATAAGAATCTTTCTAAAACATGTAATGTTTATTTCATTAAGCCTCGTACTGCGACTAAACATTTGCACTTTCTTACAAATGGGTATACATTTTGCTGGTTTGGATAAAAGCAAAAGCAAAATAAATAAAATAATATTAAAATGATAATAAAGTTCTAAATCTAAGTTAATAATTACAATTAATATGTTTTTTTTCCTATTGTACATGTCCAAGGCACTTACATTACCACAATTCTTAACAGGCACTATAATGATTTTAAACTTGCATCTGGAACACAGATGAAACAAAATAGACTTTTTAATGCTTTGAATTGTGTTTAACAATACCACAATTAAAAGCAAAGTAATAATCAGCGTTTGAAATAATATACATGTTTTATTACAAAAAAGTAAAGAAAAGTGTTAAAGAAATGTACCTGTATATTCATGACGTACAGGATGTCCAACAACACCACAGAACACAGGGCCACTTGTCACACCAACAGATGCTGTGCTGTTCCAGAAGTGACATCAAATTATTTTACATAATTGTAAAATTATTATTTATCTTAGATGTGTTATAACCCAGTGTAGACATGTGTATTGTTCATTAATGCTTACTTTTTAAAACAATACAGACTTCTATCTATTAAAACTGAAAATAACGTCTTACTTTTTGAGATATTGGAAGTAAGGCTGTTTGCCCCAGGTGATAATTTTATTCAACTCCTTAGATCTATAAGCTGTGTAATGTTTCAATGAAGGGAACACTGATCCTGAAGGACTGAAGGATATTTTGTTTTCGTTCTAACTAAGCTCTCAGTTACCAGTTTAATTGATCAGAATTAAATTGTTGCTGAATTTAGAATTGGATAATTCAAAATCTACCTGCCAAACCTATAGACTGTGGAATATGTCTTAATAGTTACTACGCAAAGCAATATAGTATGCCAGGCAAAACAGGTAATGTATATCTGTTTGTGTGCGTATTCCTGCACTGCTTGTAAAGTGGAACAAAAAACAACTTTTTTAAAGAATAAGTGTCCACATAAATTAATGTTTTACATTTTTGTACACCTCTCATTAATTTAATTAGTTTATTACCCTCTGTTTTACTGCAGTTAAAAGTGTCACATCAGCCACAATCAAATGGTAAATCAAAACCTTATGAAATATTTCAGTTACTGCATGCAAGATGATTCTTTGGAGACACTGACATTGTAAGATTAGGAAATCCATGTCAGTTTTGTCATTCAGCAAATTGGGTGGGTTTGAAGACCTCCAACATTGGAATCTGAGGGTCTATAGTAAAGATCTCCAGTTAGTCTTATATTCTTAAATAGATAGTTCAGGTGGGGAGCCACGTCAGCATGCGTAGGCTGCAAAGGAACAAGTAATAGGTTTATTCTATGCTGAAAAGAGAAGAAAGAAAACACAACGTTTCAACCATGGAGCCTTCTTCAGGTGACACCTATTACTTGTTCTTATATATATATATATTCCCTGCTTTTAAAAGTTTAGCAGCACTTGCAATTTATAGATTAATTAAACAAGTAATTTGTTCAATTCAGAGAACTCTCGGACCTTGGCTGAATTTTTTTTTTCAAATCACCTTTCAAATGTTTATCCCAAATGATCTCTCAATTGTGTGGCACAGTGGTTAGCTTTGCAGCCTCACAGCACTGGTGCCCTGGGTTTAGTTCCTGGGCAGATATCAGCATGTTCTGTTGTTTTATTTTCTTGACTTGTTCATGTGGGTTTCTGCTGGCCAACTGGATTTTCTCTTTTGGTTAAAAAACATACTTGTAGGTTAACTGGGTTCTGGGAAAACTGGTCCTGGTGACAGTGTGTGCATGTTTGTGTCTGTGTGTGCCCCGTGATGCACTAGCATCCTAAGCAGAGTGTATACTGCCTTATGCCTGCTGCTTACCGGGATAGGATCCAGCTCCCCCATAACCCTGTGTTGGATATAGCGATTAGAAAATGGATGGATGATCCATAAATAAATTAATTAGTTTCAAGTCTTTAGACATTTATTTTTTACGGGCTATCTATAAAACCTGTTGGATATGGGGTTTTTTAAATGGGTCAGTAGGTTTTATCTTCAAGAATTAAGTTCTCAACAGTAACTTTTGGCATCCTGGGATATTGGACTGCATTATACAGCATTGACAGCCTGACTTCATTTCTTGTTCTGTGGGTTTAATGATCATTGTATTGGAATTGAAACATTTTACAAGCAGTTTAATATGCCTTGTATTTTAATATGTTTTGTACACAGATAAAAAATAGAGATAATAATAAAATAGTTTTGCAGGAAGAACCCCATTCCTGTTTTGTCCTTTTTAATGTAGTACTAAGCAAAGTACTGTATAATATTATGCCAACCTCCCCAAAATAACGTAGAGCATAGATAATAAAAACACAATTGGACTAGCTACAACTGAATAACAATAAATGACTAATCATACCTAATTTAATCACTGTATGAAATAGAATGCTGGCTTTTTGCAATTCTACTCCTAAAGTGTATCTAACATATATAGCTTATTCACTTAAAGAAACATACTGTATGTGGTAGTCATATACAGTATATACTGTATAAAGTCATATATGTGAAAAATGTGTTAGATATATAAATAAAAAACAAAGTTTTCTTATTAACAGTATGCTTCCAGATTAACGGTAATGTAAGGGTTTTGAGTTCAAATCATGCTTTTCCATTTTTTATTTTAACATAGAACATACTATGATGGAATCAGAATTAACTTTAGAACAGGCCACAAATGCTTGGCAGATAGATACGTATCATGAAAAATACCTTGTGTTATTTATCTGAGTTAAAAAAATAGAGTAGGTGAAATTGCAATACTCCTGCACTTAATTATGTGGAAAACATTCTGAAAGATAAAAAAAGTCACTATACCTTACTTCCCTTATTTCCTTTGAACAAAACTCATGTATACCAAAAGCTGACTGTAAAGCATGAGAACTCTCATCTTCTCGCTTATCACCAGGAAGGCCAAAGACACACAGAAAGGTGCAGCCCTGTAACAGTCAGGATACAGGCTTGTCAAACAGCAGTCAGCACTACCTGAAAAAATATATCTGATCCACATAAACATTTTTGTCACTAAACAGAAGACACAGAACTTGTTTAATAAATTAGCTATGGTAAAAGATGAAAGTTGCATTATTTGATAAAACTATACATTAATTTTCAATATATATTTAGCCATGTGCAGAGTCATAATTTTAGAAATACTCAGCAAATATAAAACCTTAAATATAACATTAGCTTTGCTTTTTTTAGGTATTCCTCTCATAAATGTAATTTCAAGTCATTGTACTACTACCTACCTTGTCAAACATAAATACTTTATTTATTCTTCCTTGATGCTTAACCATCTGATGGCCAATTCCATCTGTTGCTTGTTGTATAGCAAAACACTGAGCTGATTCAGTTACATAATGCCTGAATTGTAGGTTAACAAAGACAATTGTTGCTGGTCTCATTTCAGATAAATACTCAAGAGGCTGATCATCATCAATCTAGTGTTGAAAGAAAGAAACAAACAAAATAATCTATCATCACTTAGACCTAATGCAGGCTTAGAATGTACACTTGAGATGCACAGCCTTGTCCTACATCTCTTTTAACACTGGGTATAGAATTGCAGGTCATACTGTATCTTTGTGTCATGCAGACAACTCCACAGTTCTCTAGACAGCTATTGAGGGAGACATACTGTAGATACTGTAGTTATCATGAGGCATTGCAGGGTCTTGTTTAATGTACCTGACTGTGCCCTATTTTGTTCAATTCTGGACTGATTTAGTATACATTGGTTTGTTCTTTATAACAGAATAGACTAAATAAACCTTAAAAATGTATATTTAACATATTATTTTATATGGTGGCTAAGTGATTAGCATTGGTGCCTTGCAGTACTGGAGCCCTAGCTTGAATTCCAGACCTTTGGTACTACCTGTGTGAAGGTTTAAGTTCTCCACGTGTTTCCATGAGTTTACTTCAAGTGCTCCAGTTTCTCCCCAAAGTTCAAAGACATACAGGTAGATTAATTGGCCCTGGTGTGAGAGTGTTTGTGTCTCTGTGTGCCCTGTGATGGACTGGTGTCCTGTCCAGGGTGTATCCTGCCTTGCAGCCGATGCTTTGCAGAATGGGCTCTGGGCCACTGTGACCCTGAATTGTACTGTATAAGCTGTTATTGAAAGTAATAATGATCATATTACAGGTGGGGAGCTGCGTCAGCATGCGTAGGCTGCAAAGGAACAAGTAATAGGTTTATTCCATGCTGAAAAAAAGAAGAAAGAGAACACGACGTTTCGGCCGTGGAGCCTTCTTCAGGTGTGAGAGAGACAGGGCAGTAGGCAAAGGTAAAGTAGCGGGAGAACAAAGGTTGAGAGGGAGGAGGAGTGAGAGGCGGGAGCAGAATGTGTGATCCTAGCTAGGATCACACATTCTCCCTTCCCTTAACGACAGATTACTGTTCTTTTAAATTTTCTCCATTAATTGGAAGTTTCATTTCACACCTCACTGCACCCATTCTGACTTCACACCTCTTGATTGGCCTCTCTTTCTGTCCCCTGCTCCCGCCTCTCACTCCTCCTCCCTCTCAACCTTTGTTCTCCCGCTACTTTACCTTTGCCTACTGCCCTGTCTCTCTCACACCTGAAGAAGGCTCCGCGGCCGAAACGTTGTGTTCTCTTTCTTCTTTTTTTCAGCTTGGACCTACAGTATTACTTGTTCCCATGATCATATTACTATGTATGGCAAAATTTCATTAAGAATCTAAACAATCTTACACAGAATTAATAATGCATTTTTCTATAAGAAAAACACTTTCTGTGTAAAGCTTTTATGGTTTGGCTTAGGTTTTCCTTTACACTTACTTTCTGCAAAACAGTTTGCATAACATATTTCCGTAGGTTTTTCTCAAGGTCTGCATTTGGCATCAATCTTGAAGCTTTCCTCACAACACCTAAAGAAGAGTAGATTAAGCAGTGTGAGTTATATTTTATTTACAGTACTATATATAAAATACATTTAAAAATACTTACCTTTAATAATATTCTCATGGGAAAGGTGTTTTCCTTTTGATTGTATATACTCCTCAACAGAAAAATTTGGTTCTTGCTTTATATATCTGACCTGTAAAAGTTACAGAATGAAGCTTGTGGGCAAAGTAAAAGGCTTCTTTATGGAATTTGCTTTGACAGTCTCAGTTTTCCTATTATTTTACCATAACTGTACTATGCTTTTATTTTGTTATGCCACGGTTTCTTGCCATTTCTGTTTTTGATGTACTATACCACAATGTTATTTTACTACATTTCAAAGTGAACAAAGATGCAATCTATTTATGAGCACTTTTCAAGAACGCAGTCAAGAATCCGAGTTGACACTAGCACATACCTGTATATAACACACATCAGAAGCTATGCAAAAGCGATAAAAGCACAGGAGTACAAAAAACAGGAGTAAAATTAAATTCTACATTAAAATTACATTTTGCACAAGAGATCTTTAAGATAATTTAGAGAACATTAACAGTTTTAGATTCAGTATAGAACTTAGGCAATGTGTCACAAAGAAGCCTAGATCAGTCATCCCTTCAAACCAAGCAGGTGGATAAGGAGGAAACTGGGTAGTGAAACGATGCTGAGGCTAACAGTGACTTTGAAACACTTACTGTTTCACAGTTGCTATCAGTACTCAGTGAAATGGAGTTTGGAGAAAAAGACCACTAATCAACAATATTCCGGTCACTCCACTAGGAGGGCTTATATGGAACTGAGAAAAAAACATCTTAGATCACACATGGCATTTGCAACAAAGCACCTAAGTGATACAGCAGACACATGGAAAAAGATTTTATGGTGAGACGAGACAGAATTGGAACTTCTTTTATCTAATCGTACTGTCATACTGTACGTATGGTGGATGCAGCATTACTTTATAAGCAAAGTGAGAGAGCTTAAACAAATCAGCTTAAAGAAGAATAGGCAATGGGCAAGATTTCACAAAATGGGACATCAAAGGAATGATCAGGATACTTTCGCAAGGCACTGTATTCTGAACCCTGAAAACAAGTACCCTGTATGTGATAAATCATACCTTAACTGCCCTTTCATTTTCTATGGGATCAGTTGCTATGTTGTCTCTGTCACACAGTTCCCAAGCATTTGGTGACAATATGATTGTGCTAGCCACTGCTAATCCTTCAGCAAGTCGAACTTCATCCACTGCTCGTCCAATCACAACAAAGTATTCACTGACTTTATCTCCCATAATAACTTTAGATAGTTTTCCTGCTGAAATACCTGAAATAAGCACAGATGAAAAAGCTTAGGAAAAAAAAGCTAAAAAAATGTAAGCTCTGTTTCTGAAATCTTAAGTTTTAAGTTTGCTTATGGTTAATGAAACCATTTAATACTAAGACTCTTTATTAAATACTAATAGTAAATACTAGTGTGACTAGTCTCAATCTCCTATTTGTAAAATTGATTATGTAAATTAAGAGTAAGTTGTCCAGGTTTTATGGTAATTGATAATGAGAAACTGAAAGAAAACCCAGGAAAATGTAATAAGCAATAATCATAATATATTGTTTTAGATGCCAGCTGATACATACCGACTTACTCTACAGCAGATCAGTATTTACAATTTAGGTATAGGTATTATAAATCTTACCGTTTTTGTGGAAATTATGATTTAAGGACATAAAAAAAACAACTAAATTGGCAAAGAGAGTAGACCACTTGACTCATCTAGCACAAGTGGTTTTCAGTAGCTTATTGATTAGATAGATAAGTGATCTGATCCTACAGTAGCCATTTCTTGAAAGAAAAGGGGTTTTGGCATTGACAAAAAAGTGCCTCTTATTCTTGGTTTTGAAAGCACGTCCTCAAACAGTAGTCAAGTAGTTGTAATGCTGCACAGCCCCACAGCCTCTCCTCATAAATACCAACCTATTTTCACCCTGAGTTGGCAGCCTACTTCAGTTTCTCGAATGCCACATTGATCTTGGATATTGAGACTGCATTTCACCGCCAAGGATATCACGTCACTCAGCTGCATTCTCTCCACTTTCCAAAGTGCTAGAATGGCATCACCTGTACATAGAAGAGGAAGTCCATGATTCCAGAAATGGAGGTAATTTTGGATTAACTAAGAATGCACACTTGAAAATGAGAGTTAAGAATAGAATGTTGCAAATGTGGCAGTAAGGTTATCATGGGCAAACACATGAATGAGTCCCACAGTAAAATGAGGTGTCTTCCACAGTGAATGAACACTATAGTCATCTAGTAGATGATCATATAAACTGTTATGGCTGTATTATGCAAAATGACCTTTTTCTGTTTTTAACAATCAGTAGTTTACCTGCATAGTTCAGAATGTCTCCTCCAGCAGCAAGAATATCTGTAACAGAATAAAGTCCTGTTTATCATGCCTTCTCCGCATGTGGTTTGTCTCCCAAGACTTTTAATACATGAAGTATACTGCACATGCATAACAAAAAGTAAAAACACTACTATTTTTATGCTGGAGTTTTATTTTGCTGATAGAAAATCACACATCTTTTCCATGAATTGCACCACTAAAGTATTTCCTCCATAGATCTACAGTATGTATCACTATCTATGTGGGAATTATTTACACAATAGCCTTAAATCTAGCCATGCACTGTATTACTATAAAGTACAACAAATGCAATATTTTAGCGATCTAGTATCCTTAAACTCCTAGTATTATCCACTTAGAAAGCGATATGTGATATAATGTGACTTTTATTACATTGATGTGATGCATAGCAGTTTACAAGCAATTTGTTCAGATTTAATTTGCAGTATCCCTCCAACACCAAGGTAACATAAAGGTTTATGAGGATCCTTGTCAGTGTAAAGAGTCTTTTGGGTTGGGTATACAGTTTCGTAACCAAAATGATGCCACAGTACATAAGAACACAATTGTATTGTGATAATTATGATACTTTTCACCACTGTTTTGTTTTCATTTTCACAAATCAATGTGCTATCTAATGTTTACTCTACTGTATCTTTGACTAAAATTAATAAGGTGTTTTCAGTTTAATATGAATAAGTCATAAGAGTAGATACAGATCAAACTTGTAATATATATTTTTGCTTCTCTAGGGTTTGTAAGAACTTATATACAGTTCTAATTTTATAACAAATTGAGGACAAAGTCCATCCGAATAGCATGGACATTGTGAAAGAACAGATATTGTATAGTCTAATTCTTGTCTATATTTTTATATAGCCTTTCTGTGACTGAAATAAGAAAAAAAAAGATTTATTTGAAAACTAAATTGAGTCACACCCAAAACACTAATAACTTTACATCAGTTTAAAGAAATCCTGAAACTACCCAATAACATATTTCTGAATTAAATATTGTTCAGGAATTCTTTGACTATAATATACCTTTGCCTCTACTGTACAGATAAATAACAAGCAAAACAAACTTACGAGTTACTATCTCTCCAATATAGCTGTTCAGAGTCCTGGTTAATTGATCTGCCCCATAACCTTTCTTACTACTCATGCTGAATTTCTCAGTGAGGGCTGTAAACCCTGAAAACGGGGAACACGGAGAGTTACCCGTTGAGCCAGAGCATTCTTCATCCAAAAGCAATGAAAGTAAACATGTACAGTAGATGAAAACATTAAAAGCCGGAATGATGCTTCACAGTCACTGACCATTTTATCACAGCGACTAATATGAGGTCTTCTACTGTTAAGAACTGATATGATATCCCTTTTCATTGCATTAACTCTTACATAAAAGTTGTACATTTTTAATTTGACTACCTTAAAAGGTCAGGTGCAGTCTAATTAATGATTTTTTTCCCCTTTTGGCACTACTGTAATCTTCTTAATTACTCCCCATACGTTTGGTTTGGGACGCTTATATTTTAAGTGGCCACACTGGCATACTTTCAAAGCAAAACAAAAATTAAACACATCGTAATTTTTTTGTGTGTAGAAGTGTTTCAATTTTAATGAAAACTACTGGAAATAAAATCAAAATCAAACAGAAAGGTTAAGTAATAATATACGCTTTTACTTAACGGTAATCAAATACAAAAATTGATTGATATTAAATTCCACAAACAATTGCAACTCGTCTGCCAATTAACAGAGGCTTGGTGCGTCTTTCCAATCAAACGCAGTCTTTCAAGCAGGGGCATAGTTTGCAGGTGGTGCAGTATCGAAATTGTGATTAACAAATTTGTGATTTAACTGTGTTTTAATGTGTGTTATGCAAATCTCTCTTCCTTACCCGATATATCGGCGAATAGAAGGACTCCATGGAAGTTCTCTGCGTAAGGTACTTCCTTGGAAAGATCTCCGTATACAACTACATCAGGAACGTGGGATGCTATACTGTTTATTTTATGAGCAGCCTTTGATTCAGGTTTAATTCTTCCCATTTTAGGACATATAGGCGGGGTACATTTTCCTCGAAACCAAAAATCACAACCAACCGTTGCTGAATATTTAAACGTTTTCAGTTTCAACGGCTTACAGTATGGTTCTAGACTTTTTAGAACGGTATGCCAATACCCGGATTGCAAAACCTACAGTTCATATAAGGGTTTTCTAAATGGATCCAAGACCGCCGTTATTTGAGCTGTATACTGTAATTATGCATTCAACGTAAACGTTATTTATTTTTACAGTGGTTTAATCGTACACGTTCTGAATAGAAATCTGCAACAGCTGACCTCCGGTAGGTTTGAAATGGGGGGGGAATCACAAGATGGCAAGTGAACCTGTAAACGAAAACTAAACAGATGGTGTGATGTTGACAGCTTGGGGATGTACTTCATCCCACGGCACGGTATCCTTAAGAGAAGGTGTTTTTTTTTTTTCATTGGTGGCAAAACCAAGGGATTACCGGCTGTTTCTTTGCTCGTCATCAAGACAGGAGTTTCTTCATGGAATTTATTGACGGACACATTTCCCGTGTTTTGTGAAAGGCATTTCAATGCAACTTGGGAAGACAGTCTAAATGTACTATAAATGACAAGGAAGTGTCATTTCATCGTAGAGTACTGCTCCCATGGTATTGTAGAGTAGAACGTGTTGTTTACTGTATTTCAAGTACATTATACAGTACCTCAGTTTATCAGCGTAATATCAGTTTGTCACAAGGGACAAATTATCGGGGAGAATTGTCTCATTTCATACTTGGGTCCATTCCCTTGAAACTTTGTCCTGTTTTGTTGTTCAATCCCATAAACTCTGTCCAAGAACTATCTAATAGGTAAAAGGTATATTTTTTTATATGTGGTGGATAATTTCATACATCTTATTTTCCTTGATTGCATTTGTATTCCTTAATACAGTATAATTATCAAGGAAGGTCACTATAACTAGGCAGCTATTCTTACTGAGCTACAGTATGAGAATTTCCAGATTCCTTCATCCGTAGGCCTTTAAAGAAATAACACTTTTTTTAAAGAAAAGGGTTCGAACAGTACTGTAACTACTCTGTATTGCAACATTTCAATAATTCCAGGAGTTAAATAATTTTAAAAAAATGCAATAATGAAACTGCTTGCATGAAATATTTTAACATGTTATGGTGGATTCATTTACCATTATTTTTTGTATGTCTTTAACTCATGATAAATGACTATATTTTATAGAAACATTTCAGTTTTATAGAATACTACAGTAATTTCAGAAAAGAGTAGTGTTTTTCCTTTGATATGCTTCAAAGTAGTGAAACCCATTACGCTGTATTGCATTGAACAATGCACTTTATATCTTTTACTCTGTGTTTATTTTCTTAAATAATTCAAAGATTTACAATTTAATTATTTTAATTGCATGCAAAAAAAGTATGGCTTTTTTTAGTGACATCCAAGGTCTTTTGCTGAAACAAGATCTTGAAGGTTTCCCAGCTGCGACAGTGCTGTTCAGTACCAAAAACATTCCTGAACATGGAAGCACATTTCTTCTTTCGCTGTTACACATTAAAGGGTTCGCTGAAAAAGAAACAAAATTCAGACTCGGTTACAAGAATGTTAGAGCCTGATTTTTTTTTTGTTCTGTAGGAAAACCAAAACAAGCAGAAAAAAGTATCTCACAGTATGGATTCCCCATCATTACCTTTCTTCAGAAGGTTTAGAGTTCATGACCCAGATTATGAATTCCTTTGCAGCAATACTGTCTAGAACATTGTTAACATCACTGGTGAAGCTTCCATCCGCATGTCTTCTGTACATTTCCTCAGTCTCACTGCTCTCCTCTGAAAAACTAATTTAGAAGATTTACAGTTTTTGTCCGTATATGAAGGCTTGTAAGCTTCTCAAGTCTACGTGTTTAAAATAATTCTGAGTTGATGTTGTAGGCTATTTTCAGATTTTATTTTTACATACAGTCTAAGATTGAGCCGTTTTATTTCTGAGATTGGCAGTCCTTTTTCCAAATTTTATATTTCAGAACAGATATTTCAATGAATGTTTATCCATTGTGTGGAGCAAGAAGAAATATTGTGTAATACCAATAAACTCAAAGCTTAGTTTCAGTAGATTTATTTGCACGACCAGTGAAATAACAATACAGGTCATACAAAACATGTTATAATACAGTTAAATTATACATTTGTTTATTATGTTTTTTTTTTCTTTTCCTCTAGGCACAGAACAAGATGCTGTTAATTTAATAGAATGGAATCCTACTCTCTTCTGTCTTGTCCTTGCTTCAACCAAGTAACAAATTTCTTGGCAGCCTGGTCTTGCAGGTAGGAGCTGACGTCGCTAGTGTAGGTACCATCAGCATGGCGTCTTGTAATTCCCCTTGAAGAAAGTAAGAGAGTCCAAAGAATGTGAAATTCTGCTGGCTACATGCAGAAAGGTCTAATGCATGGGAGATGTTTTTATTAAGTAGTAGAAGTAGATACAATGGCATCTACAGGTATGTGCCAATGCAGATGAGAAAGCTTTAAAGACAAAATGTGTGACAGGTTGATTCTTTTAGTATGAAATGCTGAATAAACATATAAATCAGTTTCTTTTAAATACTATGTTCAGACCAGTGTTAAATATTTCCTCATGTCCCACTCAAGGACTCTGATAACAAATATAGCTTGGGGGATTTACAGATAAAGCCTTAGTTGAATTGTATTGGGATTTTACCTCTTAAAAATGAACTTGCAGTATGTGGGTTTATTGGTCTTGCATGTTCTTTATGCAACAAATATGGATTTATAAAATGAGCCTAGATGAAGAATTAAAACAACTTGATGTTTTCATTTGGTAAACAGTATTACACCTATCCACAAAATAACACTAAAACCACTTAACTAAGGGGCTATAACTTTACTGTATGGGACATACAATAAAGCTTCAGATATGCATAACATTTTTTTGTTTTTCTTAATTAAATATTCCATTGTACGACAGGAAGAAATACATATGAGAATGATATACCTGTCCTTTATTTATACTGTAATTCAGTTTGTACATTAAAGCTGAAAATGTTTGCTTTTCTATCTCTTGTACTGTACATGCATATGAACAGTTTTGATGTTCCACTATGTTTTAAATTGGGAAAACATTTGATTATATGCAATTGAGTATGGTTCCTTTTCATGTGTATAATGTTCTGTTTGTCACTGTTAAGATGACATTTTATCATACTATCACCTTTGAAATCTCAGTTTTAAACCAGAACATAATGTACAGTATTTTGCATTCTGTAGTAATTGGTACTTACTGCACATGCTAATGTTGTTCAGAAAATATGTACCATGTGTTTCATAAGAAAAAGCCTATAATATATGCTGGTATATTCTGTATTTATAAATCATTTTATTGTTGTAGGCTTAACATTATCAGTTTTGATATCTGGTAGCAATATGCCAATTTCAGTTCTCTGAGAAAATGTCTACCAAGTTTTCCTGTCTGGCATAAAACAAGGCATTGCAGAGGTTTAGAACTTTGTGAAGATTTACTCTACATTTTTTTTTTGTCTTTTGGTATCGCTTGTTTATTTTTTGTTAAATAAGAGTATACCTTCAATCTTGGATTATCCCATTTAATGTGTCTTAATTAGCATGTTTTTAATCGAAGCATTCTGTTTTATGTAACACTAGACAACTATATGGATTAGGCTTCTGATCGTGCACTCCATTCCTTTTGGATATACTGTAGGATGTGTTTTGTAACCCATTGCCTTCAGCCTTGAGCTTTTTCATTTTTGGAAAAAAAAGTTCTTACTGTTTTAGTTCAGACAGGGAAAACAAAAAGATGTCGCTTGCTTGAAACACTTACCCACTTCGCTTAGTGCTCATTAACCACTGAACAAAGTCTTGAGCACGCCTTGTGTCCAGGTATTTACTGTAATCGTTAGTGAATGTCCCTTGTGAATGTCTCTTCACATTTGTAAGTTCCCTGGGTTCATCAATAGAACTGTCTTCTGTAAGTAATCTTGGGGAAAAAAAAACACCTGTATTATATTCATCTTGGTTTCAGTACAATTCTGCATTTTGATGTCGACTGTTCAAAGCAGAGATTGAAATCTTTGTTATGAAAGCATGCTAATTAAAACAATTCTTTATTTTCTAATTGATTTTCTCTAGAATCACTTCAAGCATGTAATAAATGCTTGGTCTATCAGGAACATGGTATTCACTAGGATGTACCTTGAATTATCCTCTGTGTCCTGCAAGGGGACTTGCCAGCTTCCTTGAACGATAATCAAAAGCAGCAACCCAGCCAGAGAATGAATCCCTTTCATTGTGTGTCCTATCAGAAGAAAAAAGTAAATATCTCGTTTAAAGAGAAGTCATAAGAAACATTGTGACAAAGATATAAGGTTAATTTTTGTCCGTAACTACTTTTAACAATAACTTTAAATGAGTTTGGGGGAAGTACTGTATGATGTTAACAAGCAACATGTGAACATCTTCAATAGCATATTGTAAAATGCTACACTTCTTATTTCCTCCTGGTATTTGGTTGGTTTAATTACAACAAAAGCTTGCACAAACCTATCTTTACTGGACCGCTTTTAAAAAAATGAAATCAGTAAGGGTCTTACCTGTATTCCAGTTGGAATTCTACGAAAAAAGGCTTGGCTGATTCTCTGTTGGATGACTTCTTCTTGCTCTTGTGGACATGCCTCTGACTGCTCAGCTTTATATAGTGGTGAGCTATGACAGGCTGCCCAGGTGGCATGTTTGGTGATTGTTTAGCACATTTGTTAGTCTCAATCCATTAGACTTAGTTTTTTTCAGTACACTGGGTTTCGCGTATTCCTGCTTCCTCTGTGATTTATTTCCGTTTAAAGTGAGATGTAGCCAATGTCCAGAAGAGATAAGCTGTCACTTAGGTGTAGAAATCAAACAGGATGCTATTCTGTCAAATTGAAAAAAAATATTAGCACAAATCTTAATTTCTGGTAAACTTGGTTTGCACCTGTGCCTTTGGAAAAATTATAGGTTGCAATGTTTCATTATAATATAGGTACAGTAGTTTACAGTCTTTTTATTTTTTTAAAATGCTAAAAAATACATTGTGCTCATTGAGTGACTCTGAGGGGGGGATCCCATTTGTTAATTTTTTTGGGGGGCTTTTTATTTTCCATAAATGTGTAGCAAACCCAATTGATGTAGTGTATTGCATTGGTGAAAGAAAATCTTTTTTTTAAATTAAATATATGTTATCTTAGCCATTACATCAATAAAAAAGGTAATAACATTCTACATTTGAACTACAGCTTTTACATCATTAATATTTGGAGATTTATTCAGTTTTGGGTTTATGTGGCATTCATGAATACTACTCAGATATATGAAAATGTGCTAAAATGGTACATACAAATGCCATTTTATTTGATCTCTCGTGGTACACTTTTAAATCCAATATTTGATTTTTTTTAATGCTGCTTCTTGTCAAAGTGCAGGTTTAGAGTTTGTATTTCGTATTTTAATGCTTTAGATTTTGTGATAACAAAACAAGAGGATAGTGCTTAGTTTGCAGTTCTTGTCCGTACATTTTATAACTGATAAATGAAATTCAGCCTCACAGGGATGCTGGAGCCTATCCTGAGAAGCAGCGGGTGCAAGATAGGGCACATGCCGCAGGGAACACCAGTCCATCATTAGACAGACAGACAAAAACACACAGACTCTCACCAACGCCGGTCTTCCCAGAAGTCAGTTAACCTACTGTACCAATATACCAATAACCAACATCTGAAGAAGGCTCCACAGCTGAAACATTGTCTCTTTTCTTTTTAGTATGGAATCAACCTTTACTTGTTCGTTTGTAACCTACCAATATGTCTTTGGACTTTAGGAGGACACCTGAGCACCCGGTGAATTCCCATGGGCACATGGGGAGATCATACAAACTCCACACCGTTGGTACCTCAGGTTCGGAATTGAATCCAGGGCCCTAGCACTGTGAGGCAGCAAAGCTTACCACTGTGCCACCATGCCACCAACACTACATTATCATTTTTCATGAAATATTTCTACAAAATGCTACACAACTACAAAACTCTGTAGTAAAAACTTTTCCAAGTTTAGCTACATGTGCAGTACACAAAGCATCTGGATAGCTTATATTTATGCAGCTTCTGTGTACATTGTCTTAACACCTTGGTTATAACCAATTGCTCTTTATATGTATAATTGTTATAAATATTTAGTTTATTGATTGGTAAATGTATTGTTTATTGTAAGGTAAATATTCCAGCATAATAAAGTTTATACTCTGCACTACTATACGTTTGGTGAAACCCAAGTGGTGTAATCCAGTTTTGAAAATAAGAGGAACCATCTTCTACTGTATGTTAAAGTAGGATTTTCATTATATACTGTAACTGTCTGCATTGACAGGAATAATTTGGTAAAAAATCAGTTTCTCATTTAGTGAAATAAAATGTCATTCTAGGTCTTATCATTTTGCAGAATCATCCCATACTTCATGAACAAAATTGACATGGTTTTTAATGTGTTTGGACACGTTTCAGAAATAAAGTTCTAATTCGATTCTTGTTTCTATCCAAAATACTTACAGACTCGGCTACAATTCGCAGGAAGAGTAAAATAAATAAAAATGACAAGCTGGAGTTTAACATAAATTTGAGATATTGAAAGACTTATGGCTTGTAATTTTATCATCTAATTCAAGTAACTTTGTGCTGTACTGTATTGTGCAGGAAACGGTACTGTACTGTATTCATACAGCAAGCTGTATGCTGCTCTTGACAAAGCAAGGTAAGTAGACCTAAGAGACTGTCAGCCAAAATTGCTACGTTTTGCAGTACTTGCATCAAATGCAGTGTTGCATTTTTATGTTCTGAGTGGTTATGATGCTGTAGGCCGGAGCATGAAGATCTGATTGGTTAGTACTACAGAGGAGCATAGCTATGATATTCTCACTGCTCTGTACAGTACATTGGATTGTACCATACTGTATTGGATATGTGAAGGGTCAATAAGAATGATGTTTTCATTGTTGTGGTCTATTGTTCCCAATAGAACTGGATCTGATTTTCTTAAGCATTCAATTCGAGCAGTGCATCGTTTTATTTTCTGACTTTTCTAAGTAAATTTGCTATGCCATCATGAAAAGGCAGGTAAAATAGTATTTAATTGCAACAAATACTAAAGAAGCTCTTGAGAGTTCCTTACAGCAAAAGTGATCAAGAAATTATTTTATCATAGAAGCTCAGAAACAAGTTTTGAAACATTTTATTTTCACATACATGATAGAAAATCCAGCTTTAGATGCACAATACATTCAGTGCAAGTTTAAAAACAAACTCATTAATAAAACAAAACAAGCTATGTTAAATTGTGATGTACAAATACATGCAGGCAGCTTCATTTGCAAAAGGCTTGTTCATTTTAAACGTTTGAGCTGATGAGGTCTTCACCACAGTCATGATGAAAAGCATACTTAATTACATTTTGGTTTTACAGTATGTTCAAAACTGTTATGTAGAAACTTGTTCAGAGACTTCATCCACTGAGAATCATTAGTCCTACTTTACATTGTTTTTCTTATTTTAAATTAGAACCATCAACTATTTTTTTTTCTTTGTGTACTCAACCACTCTATGGCTATTTGTAATGGAAGCAGATTAAAACTACAGCACTCACACTAATGCAAAACCATCCAAGATATCAATTGTCCAGCAACCCATCTCTTCTCACTGTGAAACCTCAGAGAGCCAGTGATTATGCTGTGGTGTTCAACACAAATACAGCTTTTTTTGGCCAAATTATTAGAAAGTTTCAAAAACAACTGTGTGGATATAGTGTCTGCTTTCAGACTAGAGAATATTTATCAATTTCACATGTATAAAAGTAAGATGAATATTTCTAGTTTATGGAGAAACATTTCCTGAGAAAATGACTAATATGTGTGTAGACATGATGGTACGCAGATCCTCCAAGCCCATGGTCCTTGTCTGTATACCACTGGAAGAGGAGAAAAAGAAATTAGTTAATTAGTTTAAGTTTAAATTACAGAAGAGTTGTTTTCAGATGGTAAAATCTGAGTTGTGTTTTCCCCAAAGTTAGTGTCATTTCTGAAAGGCAGTATAATTTCTTAAGAAACTATGTTGTGCTTAAAGGGATGAAGATTGGATCTTTCTGGAAATCTATCCTTTTAAACATTGTCAACCTTTTCCTTTGCACAAATTGTATTTATTTCTGAAGAAATCTATTTTTAGACCTTAAACTGAATTAAAATGACAGTGCTTTAATAATACTTAACGAAAGGGGAAAGGGCACAGTGGAGCAAAGGAAATAATTAAATAATTATCAAAAATGTGATTTGCCCACTGATGAGCTTTCTCTATGATATGCTTATTTCCTGTGTTCTTTACAAAGTAGGTGTTCTTTTCTTTTTGGTTTATAACGGATTATTCAGTCATTTCTGCATTCTTCAAAAAGGTTTTTCCATGATGTCCTGCATTGGACTGGAAATAGAATATCAAACCAGGACCGACCTACTGTAGGACCACAAAGGGTTAAGTGATTTGTATCAATGTATGTCTTGTGTACTTCAAACCCTTTTTAACTGTTGTAGTTGAAGTGATATTACAATGCATTGTTATTTTTTAAAATGGTAAAATTGTATGTTAAAAGCTAGGCTGTAGATCACAGAAGGGATTTTTTTTAATTGGGTAGTTCAGAAGAAATGTAATTGTGTGGAGTGTATTCTACATGTGTCAGCAGATGGGAAGTTTCCATGGGTAGGAAAATCTGGCATTGTATCAGCCCTCAGTGGGATATTCACCAGTCTGGCTTTTGACAGCCTATCCCCTGGCTATCCTTCCTCCACTCTACCATATCTTAGCCACTCATTCACTACAGGATCTGCAGAAAGCAAAGCCTGTATATTCCCAATTGCAAATGCTTGGGTGCTTTACATATTATAGTCTGAATAATCTTTAAGGAATATCAATTAAGAAGCTATGTTCTGTGTCACCACTGAGAGGAATAATAGATGAATTTGTTACATCAAGAGTAATCAATCTTTTTCCATAATAAATTATTTTTTATTTTTCTCATCCACAGTAAATATCTTCCTGCAGTGCTGCTCTCAGTTCTATCTTACAGCAGTGTTTCCTAACCTGTGTTCTACGGAATAATACCACACAGCATTAATGGGTACACTCTGAATAGATTTCCTTGCTAGCGACATTTTTTCTTTCTAAAATACACCTCATTTTATATTTACAGTAGTATAAAAAATACTAAGAACACTTTTGAACCAAATTGTCCTTTCTATATTAATGCACAAGGTATCTTTGAACTGTAAAAATCAATCTTTCAACTGTTATATTATTTAGGGTTGTTACTTAATTTGTAATTTTTCTAACTGTCCTACTTCCAAAATTCTAAAGTAATACGTACGGAATGTTTTTGGTACGAAACCTCCACATGCTCCATCCCAGGCCCGGCATGTATGGTATGCGTTCTGTAAATAGTGTTGTGTGGCCAAATTTACAGCAGTTTGGGAAATGCTGTTTTCGTCTTTTTCAGGGCAATGTCTATAGGTTGTGAAGGTGGTGGTGAACCAGTAGGTGGCACCATCTGGAACAGAATTCCCAAACCAGTGACCTTGCATGGTGACCAGAGACACGGAGCTGTGGGAGGTGCCATCCTTTGCATGAAGCATTAAACCAAAACTCTGCCTACTTGGTTGTTAAATATTCCATGACTCTTTTTGACGGAGTAGGGGGTCTTATCCCTGGGGTTCTGGCTAAAGTCCACAATGAGCTTTTACAATCTGTTATCCCTAAAGTTCCAACATTATTCCTAACCAATTCAAGTAGTGGTTTCACTCTACATGGACTGCAGTCTAGAAGTGAATGCACTTTCTAAGATCTGTGAGGCAGTAGTATTTACTGCCACACCACTGTGCTGCTCGCTGCTATTAATGTGTAATTAATATGACACTGCATTAAGTTTAAAATATTTTTTTTTACTTATATTTCAGATATAGTTTCAATACTTTCAGGAACAAATAAACACTTATTTACCATAGCTTCAAAATCCACCTGTTCATCGACGAGTGCTTTTGAAATCTGTGCAGCTTGCTGAAAATGGACATTATCTGTAATAAAATAAGGACAGATGTGTAAGATACGGAATATCTCTATACATCAGTAAATCATTAAAAAACTATTGAGTGCCAAATACTGTACAGTATATACAAAAACGCCCATTAAAATTATACATGCATATTTATACTGTATCTGCTGGATAGAAAGAGCTACACAGTTTTGATATTTATAATTTTTTCTCTGATGTATATGTAAAGATGTATCTTCTAAGTGACTTAAACACTCACCATCTGCTGTTCCATGTACTAGAAGATAATTAATGGATTTGAAATTCTTAGCCCTTCCTGTTACAGTGGAATTCTGTTGACAAACAGAATAAAAAAGTATTTGATAATGTTTTAGACATCAGTTAAGTAATTCTGTTTTTGTCATGTTCTGTAATAAATAGACTTAATGTTCTGAAAGATACTGTATCTGCTTAGATTTTAAAAATTTCCTGCAATGCTAGAAATTTAACACTCATTACAAATATCTCCTTGCTAAAGTGGAATAAACATACAGTATGTGTAGTGGATAGCATTAAACATTTTTTTCAATAGATTGAAGGTTTGTATTGACTTTTCTTCTGAGATCTTTATTTTACTTTGAGTTCAGTTTTCTAAATTAACCTTCCACTTTAAAAATCACAGAAAATTGCTAACATTTTTCTTTACATGTTGTTAGGTTTGGTATTTCATGAAAATATAGTAGGTTAACTGTGAGGATCTCCTTGTTTATAGAAACTCTACAAACTGATAAAAATAAAAGCAGGATATACAGATTATTTTTTCTTGTTATCCTTCATACCTTGATATGATCATACCTTGATATGATTTTAAATTTTTGCAATGTAAAGTTTTTACAATGTTTGTTGAAATCTATATTTTTATACAATGTCTTACCTGATAGAATTTTAGATTATCTGATTCTGTAGGCTGTCCCATGTATCGTTCAGTGTAGATGGCATCTGAGCATATTAAAATAAGTTATTTAATGTTTTTAAATGATTAACACATGATTTAAAAAATGAAACAGTGAACAATGTTTCTAATAGAAATATTCTGGGAAAATCCTTACATTTCTAAAATTATCTTACTTTCAAAAAGCAGCATCATTATTAGTTTCTAACATACTTACAGTAAATAATATGAAAACTAATTAAAGCTTTGTGAGTTAAATAATGTAACAGAAGAAAAGAACATGAAGGTCTTGGTCAAACTTGGATAATGTCCATAGTACTGACCGTTTTATCTTAAAATTACATCATAGCAGTATTCCAAAGGGAAAATAGTGTGTGAGACACATATTGTATGCTACATTTAGTCCGTTTCAAAGCAAAAAATGAACATTTTTTCGTTTGAACTTTTGCGTACCATAATATTCCCATTTAGACACTGGGGCAACAGCTATTCCACACTTGAAAACTCCACTACCAGCACCAAGCGCCATGGAGGTGACATATCCACCATACGACTGGAAAAGGAAGAAATGAGTTCAACATGAACGAAAATTATTAGTCTTCCATTGTAACATCCTGCTTCTATCATAATCTGAAATGATCTTGGACAGTTTGCTACCTACAAAACAAAGGTTTTCATGGTAATAAATGGAAAGGGGAAAAAAAGCTGTTTCTGCTTAAATAATATTTTGCTTCAGTGTTTTACCTGAAGACAAGCCCTTGTCTAATATGAAAATAAAAAAGAACACAAATAAAATAGATCTCGGTACCTTTTCTAGCATTGAATCTTTTTATAATAACATTTTTCAATGTAAGGTATGTCAACTTACCCATCCCCAAATGGCTATTCTTGTCTTGTCTATAAAGCCCATATCTATAAACTTCCTAAAAAAGGACACAATTTTTGTTAGATGTTTTTGTAGTTGAGAAGCAGCTAAATATTAATTATACTAGTTCTGTTTTTATGTACTGTATTTCTTACAAAATCCATGTTACTGATAGTTGTTAAAAACATCATATAAAACAGTGACTATTGTTAAATTATTTGTTTGATGTCCTTTTATTGCTTTCAGATACAGTACATAGTGGAGTAGATTGCTTATACACTACGTCCATCCATAATTGTGGCCTTGTGCTTGTGGGTGATGATCCTACCTCACAGCTGTAATCTGATCTTCCACCTCATATGTTCCTAGTCGTCGATATATTGAATGCATTATTTTATCACCCTGGTAACCACTTCCCCTTCCATCAAAACTTGCAACAATAATCTTCTCTGTGCTTGCCAGATATGTAGCCCAGTTCAGCCTGAAGCGAAAATCTACTTTCTGACTGCATGGTCCCGCATACCTGAAGACAATTAATCAATATATTAATTCCTTGACATGCACCGCAATACTGGAAAAATGCCAACCAGTAACGATTGTTTGTATTCTTAATGCCTCTTAATGTATTAATTATACAAGTTCCAGTATATCTGTACATATACTGTACAAACACTTGATGGGCCATTAAAGGTAATAATTAACCTCATATTACTTATCCATATTGCCAAAATAGTGCAATTGCAGTTTCTATTATAGAAATGAACAAATCACCTATGCATTTAGAGAGCAAATCTAGACAGGGGTAAAAATAACTCACACATCAATTAGCAGTGGATATTTCTTAGATTCATCGAAATTAGGTGGTAAAGTCATTTGATACCAAAGATCTGCAAGACAAAATGGTTGCAGGAGCAAAAAATAAAATAAACTGTGAGATTCTATAGCATTTTCATTTTAAAGTTCTACAGTATGTTCTAGTGAACTTTTGTATTTCCGTTCCAGAGGAAGCTTTAAAAATGAAACCACTTACGAAACTCTCCTAAACTAATGGTCTCACGACGTATGGTTGGCATTTGAAATTCTGCAAGAATGTTTTCCAAATCTTTGTTTTCTTCAAGGACCTTAATTTCTGAAATAAAACAAATTAAAACAGTTTTCATTATATACTGTATATTCAGAGGTACTGAAATAATGTCATACTTTGTACTGTAGCTTCAGTTTTAAAATTGTCCAGAATTGTCCACAAACTACAAAGTCTTCAGTATTAAGGAAATTAATACAGTTGGTACAGCTGAAATGGCCAAAGAATGTCCAAACCTAATTTGCTCTGAGACTGCCTTAATTTGGAATGACACCATCTTGTCACAACCTTGAATACCTCTTAAAAAAGAAGTATGCTGTAGTAAACAGGAAGATTGCATCTTAGCTGTCCTTATGGTTTTCAATTTTGAAATATCATGCATGCACAGCTTTAATTAGGACAAAACTGTTGTTAAGTGTAGCTAACTGGTCATTTCATTACATGTGACTTTTTTCAACAACTATTCTTGAAACTTACCTTTACCAGAGGAATTATGCAGTGTAAATTTAGGTAATCCAGGTCCTGTTAAAAGAAATTGTGCCATAAATAGGCAAGGCCAGCAAGTTCTGAACTTATTAGACACAGTTAATATTTCTTACAAGACGCATTTCTCTTTGCCTCAACTAGCACTAGTTTTACAAATTGTTTGGGATTACTTTAGTACAAGTTTTACAGTAAGTCTTCCATTAGTATAAATGCTGCCAGTTGCAAAACTCGGTTGGTGCCGATACATTTATCAACTTCTACAATTTCTGAAAAGTCAACAGCAATGTCAGTGTTCAGAACCATAACCATAACCATATATTTCTTCCTAAATATTCTTTATTGTATTTGAATACTGAGGATACTCTGCAGATCTAAACAAAAATCATACTGTATAGAGTACTCTTTATTCAGTTTTTTTTTTATGGTGTCCAAACGATAAGTTCCATTTCTGAGCTATTTATTGTTTGTGGTCTGTTTTTTGTTTTGCTGTTTGGTAGAGATAAAAAATAATGTGGATTAAAATAATTTATTGTTCATAAACTTACCATAGCAGTCCATTCGATAATATTTCGCATTTTTGCTGAAGTAAGCTGAGTTGTATTGACATCTTTTTTCATCTTGTTTACAGGTAAGGCATTCTGGATTAGAGTGAGTGCTACCAATTTTAATCCTGGTGCATAGATAGTAGAAGGATGAAAATAATCATTTTCATACTTCTTGCAGTTCATAGTTATTATTGTTGATAGACCTCAGTAACATACAAAAATAAAGGATAAATAAATAACACCCCCCTCCATTTTTGTATAAATAAGGCCCCACATATTTTGAAATCCAGCAGATGGGAGTGAATTATTCGGGTTCACATGCAACTACAGTACATATACAGTAGGTTATGAGTTGTCTTTACACACTAATGCCAGAACCACAGAAATGCCACAGTCCTTTACAAATGTGTATATTTGTTCACCAGATATGTTCAAAATACTATGCACTTAATTTTATAAAAATGTGTACCAGAATTCTATCCTTTTGATAGATACCGAAAACATGCATAGGTTTTAAGATCCAGAGCCTTAAAAACATTTTAAATCATCCCACAGCACATCTGAGGTTGAAGTAATTTCATAGCTTAAGTGTGGAATTAGTCTTACCTGTATAGGTTGCGTTGTCCTGGACGTCCTTCGTGTTGATTGCTAACATAGTAGCTGCAAAAAGAACCACAGCTTGGTCATTAATTTTTATTAAAAATACTTATGATTCACATTTTAAAATGTATATTTAATTTAATCTGGGTTAAATTAGTAATGTTACTGGTATGCTCATCTGTGGTCTTCATTCTGTATATATCCATACATCCGTTTTCAGAAAGCCACTTCCTTCTGCTAAAGATTGCAGCAATCCAGTTTATTCTGAAAGCAGACAGTGCAAGGTAGGATTGCATCCTAGAAGGGACACCTGTCCATCGATGGACACACAGGGCCATTTTAGAGACATCTGTTCACCCAACCAGCATGTCGTTAGAAAGTCGGAGGAAACTGGGGCACCCAGTAAAAACCTGTGCAGACCCAGGGAGAACATGCAAACTCCACACAGGAGGTGGCTCGGTCTGGAATTGGACCCACCACCCCAGATTCTTGAGGCGGCAGCACCGTCAACCACTGGGCCATATTTCTTGAAATGGTGAACAGTACTTTTATTTAAAAGGCGAGTATACATCTAATTGGCTGGATATTTACAATTTGTGCATCTCTGTGTGTCTGCCCTGCAACGGACATGCGTCCCCTCCATGGTATATCCTGCCTTGCGCCATTTGCTTGCTGGGACAGGGTTTGGCTCCCCATGACCCAGAATTGGATAAAGGGGTTAGAAAATGGATGGATGGATATTTATACCATCCTATTCAAGTCTTTCTGAATTTTTATAGACAGACTTCTATAGTCACATTTAACAGACGTACACTACATTACACTTAGTATGATTTTTTTTGTCCTTCATAAAGACATCACCTAGGCAAATAAATAAATGAATAATATATTCAAGCTACTGTACTTACATGGTATCTTTGGTTAGTTTTGAAATGTATATGACTTCCCATTTTCCAGATGTTATTGGAACACTGTTATCCTAAGAATTATAAATCAATATTAATTTTGTGTAAGACTTTTTCTCACTCACATTTTCACATTCACATCTTCTGATTTTATTTATTTGCTTTTTAATTGAATGCCACTAGTCGATTAATACAGCAGTAGTTTATTCAATTCTTAGCTTTACTCTAATCAGCTGGTTCAATGTGTTTTAACTTATCGGAACACTTACTGATGAATTCACGTAATGGATATGTTTATATCCATCTTTGTCACTCATTATTTTGTAAAAACTGATGTTGTCTGCAGCAAAGAAAGGTTCCAGGGGGTAAAACTGTAAAGAAAGTAATGTTAATTAAGTGTTGTTGTTTTAAGTATAATTTTAATTATGCAAACTCATGTATTTATTATTTAAAACTATAAGGTGTAAATATAACAGTGCTCTATCCATACTATGGTGCAGAAAATTGACCTAATTGTAACAAATACTGTACACATTGTTTCTAATGTTTTTCCTTGATTTAAGTTAACAGGCTACATCAAAGCAGACCTCAGCATGTTTCCTAGAGTGGCAGAAGAGGTACAAATACAATATGGAAGAACATAATAATCTTTCACTCTGGTGTTTCTTTGTGATGTAGTGTTCAATTAGCAGTTATACCCATTTATCCACATAATTTGATTAGAACTTACTTGTCCAACCCAGCCCGTTTGACTTTTTTCTTCATAAGACTGAGAAAAGAAGAAAATATATGAATTGCAATTTAATATTAAGCAATATAGCTTTTAATATAGCAAAAGTTATTTTCAGATTTTGCTTTTGGCCGTAATGAGTTTTTGGTAACCCTTCATTATATCTAAACGTATCTGCAGGCTTGAAATATAAAATTGATATTGTGGACAAGGGTACAACTTAACAGATTTGTTCAACTTTAAAGTCAGATGTAAATGAATATTACCATAAGATTCTGGTACTTTATTTCTTAAATTGTTATTTCATTTCACCTCTATATGAAGTGATAAAATACACAGGATGCCTGCATATTTACTGAAGTGTATGTAAGCATAAAATACTCCTAAACTGTAGATTATGTGAAAGTAACTAGAAAGATACACACCTTTAGATGATTCCAACCAGCTGTGCTGTAATCATAGACCACTAAAATGCTGTGATTCTGTGCTCTAAATAGCCACTGAACTGCAATGCGATTGTCGGTAACCCAGGTGATTGTGCTTAAATAGTGGTCACTAAGACAAGAAAAGATACTTAAGCATGTTAAAAACAGTAAATCTACTGTATATTTATTAAAACCACGGATTACAACAGTGCTCATAATGGTTTATACAGTAATTGATATTTCTTGCAAAATATTTAGAAAAAAGTTTGTAAATTTTTAGATTTTATCATTGACATTTTTGGTCAAAAGGATACCATATTTTTTCATTTGGTTTTCTATGGCTTTTATTAAACATGCACTATGGAGAGTGAGGTAAAACATTTTTTTAATGTAATTTTAATGGAACACTGTAGTAGTATACTGTACCTTGATCGCATAGGGTCTGGTACAATAACCTCTGCAATTCGTGATATATTTGAGGTATCCACAACAAACAGCTTTGCTATAGGAATTGTAGACCCAGCCTTGGTGGAAGAGAATGATTATTTTTTAAAAAATGGCTTATGAAAAGTGTTTACAGTAATATTTTAATAATATATGACAAATATTGATAAAACACTCAAAAAGTGTTTCATTTTTGTAATGATTAGTTTTATAGCAAAAACTATGAAAACACATAGAGTAGTTTAAAGCATGTATGCCATAAAAGGTAAAGATTAAACCCTGTACCTTTGTGTTGCAAGCATAGTGTTTTAAGAACAGAGCCAAACTGTCATTCTTGCACAAAAGTAAGCATGCACACAAAGAGAAGTATTATACCTTAGGGTATGGAAAAATGACCGTTTCTGGGTATTGTCCATCTCCATAAAACGAGTACTCAATGGTATTTACTTCCGTATCATTAAATTGTGCATATGCTAGAAATTTCCCACTTGGAGACCACCACAAAGCATAGTTATATGCAAACATTTCCTCTTAGAAAGATGAAAACAAGAAAAAGGAAAACGGAACAAGTTAAAGACATCAGACACAATGAGAATGCACTTGTACTGTAATATAAATATGTTTAGGGAATGAATAGGAGGAAAGGATTATGAATTTGAGATTCAGAAGTAATTATTTCTGCAACACAACATCTTGGTAATGGAAAAATGTGTGGTTGCATTCTTTTTCCCCTTGTCTATTTACAACTCCATAATTTTCTCTGTAATGAAATGATGATTAAATGAATTAGCACTGCAATTTGCTCAAACTGTGCTTTCAAATTGATAGTTCTTGCGAGCTGTGAAATCAGTGTTTGTGTCACAAAGGCGAAAGAGAGAAACAGTGGGAATACTCAGGATATGAGCATTAATAAAATAGTTCGCGAAACACATGTCAGTCTTTGAGACAGAATACTGGTAACAGTGAACTTGTACAGTATATTGTAAATGTAAGGGAACTGTCCAATGACTTTAAGCACTGCTGATGTTATACAGTGTGGACTCAGTCACAATCTGACTCAACACCACCCCCCTCATTAGTTTACGTCATGCAACACTTTATTCACTGGGCAGTAGCTCAGCAAAATTCAGTAGAATGGAAGAATAAATGCTTAACGTCCTGAAACTATTTTGCAACCTCTCTGTCTCCTGGAACTGATCATTATGAGCCAGTGGTTTCTCATATGTTCTATTGGTTTGGGGAAAATATAAATGCCATAAACTGTTTCCAAAAATACAGTATAGTTAACATTTGTGATGTGACAGTACAATGAAGAATTAGTGGAAAATCATAATCGTACGACCATATTCACATGGCCAATGATAATAAAAAACAATCAGTAGCAATAATTTTCTGTACGCAATAATGCTGTTTCATGTAAAAAGAATAGGATTGTAAACTATAAGACAATAAAGATAAACATTTGTGCAGTATCAGGGTTCAAAGCTATTAGTACTCATTGTCCACCATAAAAATCTTACCTTCATACACCCAATCTGGGATGCCATTGAAAATTTTATTTTCTTCTCCGTTAGTAGTTACAGCTTCAGGTGCTGCATTAACATCTGTTTTTAAGTAAACATTATTTTTCCACACATATGCCTGTAAGAAAATTGTGATTTAGTAGTAATATGATATTCACCAACCTTCTTATTCCAGATCTAGGCGGAATAAAGTAAGTGTATATAATAAGGGCCTCTGTTAAATCACCTGCAGTGTAAAGTGGTGGTTAGTGCTTTCGACTATCACCTAGAAGATTGTGGGTTTAAATTTTGACTACGGTGCTGATGATGTACGTTTGAATGAGGTATTTAATAAAAATAAAATCACCCACCCACTTGTCAATAACAAATTCCAGTTTCTTTGAGCAAAGTAGAAGCTTTTCAGCATTTTTCAGCATTGGAAGCTTTATGCTGAACTTTTGATTTCTAAAAAAATAAGTTACTTAGTCCAATGTTGGCATGATAGGCAGTCACCTTTTATTATCTTTATGATCTACAGCACTTTACAATGTGCAGTGTCACAATAGAAAATGGGTTACAAGAGTACAAAGTGGATATCTTTTTTTATTGCTTTATTTCCATGCCCATATCTCAGTGTCCTTGAAAACAATTCAGAGCAGGTAAGTTCACTGATATTGTACTGTTATAGTTGCTGGATAGTAAAAAATATTTAGTTTGTAACAAGTTAAATTCCTATTTGTTTAACTTACCAACTTGTTCCCAGTTGGTGCCCACTCTATATACTGTATTTTGTGTGGTAGTTGGGATGATGTCACAAACGTTCTATGAAAGAGAAAAAGATGCAGAGAAAATGGTACTGTCCTTCAAAATGCAGAACTCCAGTAATTATGTATTTCTAAAGTCTTTTTCTTAATAAATGCACACACATAAATGGCCACAATGTGTAAATATAAATGCAATTTATTTTTAATGTGGAATAAAATGTAATACAACAATAATCATATAATTTATACTTATAAATTTTGCTGAGACCAGCAAGGCTGAGAAAGCTCTGTGAATTCTAGAACAAAATATCACATCAAGGATATATGAACAAGTTACTTGTTAGTTCAGAAGTTGTGGTTCATAGTTTTATGTTTCTGAACACAAAGAAAAAAAGAAACTTACGATTTATCCACATCAAAAATAGAATAAGAAGCTGTATATGAATGCCTCCATAGCTGTTAAGAGAGGAATTATAATTAAGTATTTATAAAGCACTTTTTTCTTTTGTACTTGTTTGGAAACATTCGCAGCCACACTACACTGTTGGTCATGTGAAAAAATCTAATTAGTTCATCACGTTACCAGAATTAAAATGGATCTTCAGGCAGGCCAGATTATGCGAGCCCAAAGTGGAATTTTATCAAAACACTGCCATCAACACTCTTACTCTCTCAAACCATACTGCAGGATCTTTAATGACCAGGTAGTCATTAAAGCCTTGGTTTAATATGTCATCCAAAGGGGGCATTGGTTGAGATGGAAAAAGAGTGTCCTACTGGTCAACCAACATCACTTACAACAGCAACATGACCTTGTTGGTATCCCATCCCAGTACTGTTCACCCTCAATATTGCTAAACTTAATATAACAAGAATAAATCACTCATTATTTAGTGCTTTTTTTTGTAATCAGGAAAGCTTCATCTTTAAAATACAGTGTAGAAAAACTTCCAAATTACCTTTGTGTAATTGCTTTCAAAAAGGACATATTTCTGATCATCTGATAAAAGATAATCTGAAGCATCCACTTGAGCCTAAAAATATACAAAAACGAAATTAATTCTATTTGATATTTTAGCTTGAAATGAAGACTACCTAATAAAAGAAAACTTCTTACAAAAGTGTTGTTGCTCAAAAACTCTGAAACATAATTTGTCTCCACATCATATCGAAAGACATTTCCTCCTCTTTTATGCAGGTATTCAGTATCTATTAGAAGAAAACACAGGGTCATATGTACATTACATTAAGTTTGCTGTTACATGATATTCATCTTGTGCTTAAAGCATTTGTTTTGCGAGAGAAAAAAACAGTTCTGTGGTGTTATTTATACACAGATTATTGTACTGTATGCCATACTTGTCATTTGTTTGTCACCTTTTTTCATCAACTTGATATCATATTTAGAGAAATTGGGATATGTTTGAGAATCTACACTGTACAATTCATTTCATTTTTTAAACTTTACTAATTTCTAACTCTTTATTTTTGGCATGTTTTATACTTTTCAAACCTCTATTGCAGCATTATTTCTTGAAATGCTTCAAGATAATATCCTCTAGCTCAGTGGTTCTCAAACTTTTTGAACCAAGTACCACCCCTGATCCAACCAAAGCATCCAAGTACCACCTACAAGTCATCATCTCATAGGAACCCCAGAAATTCTCAATGACCAACATGAGCGCGCGTGCACACACACTCACTCATACATATAATAAATATTATTATAATAATAAACTTTATTTGATATAGCGCCTTTAAAGGTGGCTTCTCAAAGTGTTTTACTGCTTTTACTTGGCCTGTTTAGTCGAGCAAAGCAGGTGTGAATTAATTTTTCGAGCCTTGATACAATTCACAACAGGGTCATACAGATTTTAAATCGTCAGGCATTTTCTTGACGGAAAGGTCTCGCGGTGGATGTTGAAATGCGTCCATTAATTTCTGGTGCAACCTCTCTAATTCGTGCAACTACACCGTTATGTCGGCTTGTCATCGCTCTAGCACCGTCTGAACAAACTCCAACACATTTTATCCAGTCGATGCAATTCTCTTCGATAAATTCATTCAGAAGCTGAAATATGTGCTCTCCTGTAGTTCCTGTGGGTAGCGGCTTACAGAACAGAAAGTCCTCATGGGACGTACCCTCAAACTCGTATCTAACGTAAACGAGCAAATTGGCCAAATCGACTACAGCCTCATCTAATTGCAGTGAAATACATCTGCTCATCTTAACGCACTCTATCAGCGTACTTTTTATATCATCCTTCATTTCAATAATTCTATGAATGACTGTGTCTTTCAGGGGGGGACAGCAGGTCGAGCTGTTTAGCAGCCTTTTCTCCACACATAATACGTGTCAGCTCTTTTGCCAACGGTAAATAAGGTTCTTCAAAAATAGCGTGGCTTACCTGCTTTAGCAACCCGCAAGCTTGCATTTTTCCGCGTTTCCGTTTTTATTTCCGTATTTATTTAAAGTTTTTATTTCATGTGCATGGGAGCGAAACACAGAGACGTTCGGTGTATTTTTCTCAAATTAACTTAGAACAGTTCTTAAATATTTTTCTGTTATCTATCACGCTTTCCTGTGCTCACAAGATTACCAGTGTTCGTAGCACGTATTTCTATGCATTCCTGTGTTTACAACGTTGGCATTGTTCCAAAATCACGCATATTCTCCTACCTCCCTATTTGCTGGAGATACAGTAGCTTTTTTAAATACAATTGGTCACTTGCATCCCTAGCACACATTCCTATAGAGTGGTATAGAATTACAGAGTATCTCTTGTGTCCACTGAAGTATTAGCGCGCACTGTATCGTAGTACGTAGGCTGCGTATTCGACACGTATTAAAATACAAAATATGAAAACCGTCCCGATTTTTCAGTGCACACGACACAGTTCCAGGGTCATTTGGCGTACCACCTGGCGGGACTCCACGTACCACTGCCGGTACGCGTACCACAGTTTGAGAACCACTGCTCTAGCTAATCCATCATAAAATGGTTACTGACCGAACAATTGTCATTTTGCCTAATAATGAGAACAACAACAATAATAATAATAAGTTCTATATAATCATTCCTTCTCTATATATATTACACAACAGATTTCTAAATCACTTTTCAGAAGTCAGCGTAACTTTTTTTATTACCTGATATCCACCGCAGATTGTATGATTTGTACCTGATGGTATCATTGAAGTAGTCATCCAGGGAGAATGTTTTTTGGGAATCATTTTCTTTAAGATCATTTCCTTAAAAATAAAGTGCTTTTTATAAGAAAGTCTTTACACAGTCAAACACAAGGAGCTGTTTTTCAAAGTTTTATCACAATAAAAAAGAATGCCTCGTATTTTTAAGAATTGGAATCTGTTAGCAAGAACTTCAAACTTTATGATGATTGCTACAGTACGTCTAAAATAAAATCAATACACCCATAATATCCTAGTCAAGAGGATCACAGATAAAGTAATTTTTATTAAATTTGTTTTAACAATGATTGTTAATGTGTCCTGTTGTGTTTTTCCTTAATTAAAACCTAGCAGTCCTTTTATTTTAATTTCAATTTGCTTTAATAGAAGCATAAAGTATTCATTACTGTACGTTTTCAGTTAATATCTAACAAGCTGGATGCTTTAACCTCTGTCTTATTTTTGCAAAACAATGAATAATGCCCCTTCTGAAAAAGAAATATATGGCTCTAGAATTTGTCTTTTTTTCATAGCCCAGGTCAGTTCTTTTACAGAACAAACAGTATTACAGTATTCCAGGTATAGTTCGTGGGATGTCATGAACTTTGCTGACATGTCTCAGCAGACTGTAAATTAAAGTGGAAACCTGCAATCACATGGTGGCGCCAAATGATTAGAGTCATTTTTGGAAAAATGTAAACAGATTCTTACATTTTAAAAAACATTATCTGTAATCAAAAGATTCATAGATCCTCACAAAAAAAGTCTATGACAAGAAAGTAAATTCAGAAATACAAAGAATGCAAATACATGTGGTAATTTAAGTTTTTTAAAATGGATGATGTAGATGTTCTGTAATTGCAAAACACCCTAGTGAGTCATTATTTTCATACTAGATCAGGATGTATAAAAAAATAGGAAACCCTGAGCTTGAAGATTTCTCTGAAATGCTATGTTTACACTGCTTTACTTTTTTAGCCAGTAGAAAAACAATAAATAAGCAAAGAGAATGTTATATATATAGTTCAGGTGGGTAGCTGTGTCAGCATGCGTAGGCTGCAAAGGAACAAGTCATAGGTTTATTCCATGCTGAAAAAAAGAAGAAAGAAAAATCAACGTTTTGGCCGTGGAGGCTTCTTCAGTTGTGAGCCTCACACTTGAAGAAGGCTCCACGGCTGAAACGTTGTGTTTTCTTTCTTTTTTTTGTCAGCATGGAATAAACCTATGACTTGTTATTATTATATACTGTAAGTTAAAAGATTAGAATTTACATAAATAGGGGTACAGCACTACACATTCGTAAAGACCTTATTCAGAATATTGTGTTGAATTCTGGTCACCATGCTACAAAAAAAAAACTGCTACACTGGAATCAGTCTGGAGAAGAGCTTGAATGAAAGTCCTACGACGACTAATTTTTTTTATCAATCTTGAACTTAGAAGACTACAATTGGACCTGACTCAAGTATTCAAAATCCTCATAGGAAGACATTAGGAGTGTTTACATGTGGTGTTACTGGACAAGAAGTGGCAATCCACGTATTAGTTTGGTGGAAAAATCTGAGGAAATGATCTCTGGCTGCCGAAACCAGCTTCAGAGATGGATAGGGAAAATCCTGCATACAAAAGAGTATGATGTACAGTACAACACAGGAAGTCCAGAACCCATTTTCACTTGAAAACCCACATTTCAAATGAAAATAGAAATGAGCTCAAGCTGCAGGAGCTTCACGCACAGTGTCCTATTATCTTCTCCAGGTTCCAGCCATGGTGTGCTGTAAATAACTGGGTTTAGCACTTTGATTGTATACCTCTGGTTTAAGTGTACAGTATATGTGTTCTCGCATTCAAAAGGTCATGGAATTCTTTGAGATTATTCAGTTCTGTATTTCCATCAAAGACATTTGGAAGATAATTTGGGCAGGTAAAACACAGTTTTAATAAACCAAGCACAATTTGTTTATATTATATATATCAGCCTAACACTTCACTATTGAGGGTTCATCTCAGGCTATGTGCCATCTCATGCAGTATGCTTTTGCGGCTGTGATTTCTCACGTATATGTTCTTTGTTTCTAGAAACTGCATTTTCCCTCCAATTTGGCGAAAACAACATAAGAACAGCTCTCAAGAAATGTCTGGAGAGATCCTTAAATCTATTTTTTTTGCAACCATACTGTACAGTACATGCTACATGGGCTCAATAACTTATCAGGTTTGTAATCTTTTACGTACGTATGTATGTCTTAATGCACCCTACACACTTGGTTCTATATAACTACCTAGCAAAGAAATTAAAATTAATCTTAATAAATTAAATTAATTGGACTTATACTTATTTGATTAAATCCAAGCAGAAGACTGGATACTAAAATGATATACAGTAGTGTTTAATACAAAGTAAGAGACTAATGCTGGTATATTTTAGGCAATGTGCAGGAGAGATTTGAAATGTAATCATTAAAATACCCTCTTCAGACTTCTGTGTAATGTTTGTGGATACTTAATCTCTATCTGTATCTGCATTTACTACACCAAAGTCCACCTTTTAAACTCTCTGTCAGTAATTGTGTTGAATATTTGAATATCTGATTAATGTGGATACATACTGCAGGAAAAGTAGGTTCTTAGCAAATTATATTTTTTAAAAGTTGTTAGGTGTAATATCATGCAACCCAATAGCTACAGTATGTTTTAATTAGTACCGTACTTAATTATGCCACTTTAAGGAAGGCGGGTCTGTCAAAATATGGGGAAATCACATTTCACATATATACAGTACCTTGTAGACCTGTTTAACTTTTTGATGCATGTTGATTTTATTTCATTTTCTAGACTGTAACTGCTAAAATAGTATTTGTATTAAGGCAGACCCTGATCTAATGTACTCAAATTATCACACACCTTTAATGTCTATGTTGGTAATGATGGTCTTTTTTAGGATTTTATTTAGAAGGAAAAAAAAACAAAATATAGCAAGAATAACACTGGTAATCATTCTGATCTCAATCTTATACTGAATCTCTGTTTTGAAAAGAGTTATTTCCACTGGAAATATAGTATGTCAGAACAGCAATTGTAGCTTCTCATCTGACAGTTTTGACTTCTCTGCTTAAATGAAATTGATTTCATTCTGGAAATAATGGTGACCTGTTGGCAGTACACCTATTGAAGTCTAAAATATACATATTTAAAGTTTAAAGCCAATTCAATTATTTTTCATATTCTGTATGTATTTTTTTCTTCTGCAGTACCTAAATATAATTGCTCAATATGAGACCAAAACAATATAATGGGTCTATGCTCAATTCATAGATGAAACCAGGTATACATTGTTTAGCTAACGTTTTTTATACTTGCCATTTTGCTCTTTCCTGTTATTACAGTGCTTAATATAAAAACAAAAGCATCAGTTTTCTTCGTGCATATTGCCACTTCTGTATTTACTATATTTAGTTCCCAATAAATGATTCCCAGGACACATGACTACGGAGAATCATGAGTTTTATGTTCTGCTGCTGTTTCGGAGACAGTTTAACTGCTTTAAATGAGAGAGATCAAATACCCAGTAAAAATGTCTCCAAACCAAAGTTTTACAACGTGCTACTGCAGAAGATAACTGCAAAATGTCAATTTTCAGTGGCTCATATTACAAATAACACCACAATACGTTTCTATGGGTTGGTAAGTGGATAAAGCACACACTCTAAAAGTATTCACACGCATATAAATCTTCCAGTTTCTCTTGAAATCGTTCTCTGACTAATGACTAACATGATTCTCTGACTAACATGATTCTGCAATCTCTATTTTTAAAGCTTCCCTTTATTGTTTCATCACGCAGCACCACGTACTGTAGGTCCATACTTTGTAACACATCGTCCAGTTTTACACTCTTGACTACTGTACTGTATCTTACTGAACCCCTTAATTTTAGACGACCTTCAACCCACTCCCCCAACAACCACCCAGGAAATAAAAAAAGATAAAATAATCTAAAAGGGGTAACATAAATGGACACAAAGATTACATGATCATAATTTATTTTATATGACAAAAGCACTGCACTAATTACTAGTGTCATACTGACCGATTTAAATATATCGAGTTGTACCACTTTCCAGAAAAGTTTTCTAATTCTTTTATATTGGTTCATTTCATTGCTTCTTCAAAAAAAAAAAATCCAGAAAAAGCACATGGTTAAGATTTCTGAAGTTTCATTTACAGTATACTGTACATTTGGCTTTCATTAACTAACATCTTCATCGCTTTAGGTAACTTTCTCGGGTTTCCTACTAGTCTAGGAACGTGCTTCCCCTGTTTTAAGTACACAATTATGGAACACGTTTAGAAATAAATAATTGTTAATACACAAAAATGAATTCACTGTCTGTAATGACACGGTAATTAGGAGGAAAATGACACAACTTACTGCCTAACAACATCGCCGCGGGAACAGCTATTAAAGTGATGACGACAGCGGCTACAGCCAACCCCAGAAACACCTGGCAAGTCTAGAAAAAAGTAAAGTAAAAATGACTGTAAAGTAAGTTTCTCTTTTCTTTAGTTATTCTAATGTTTATTTCAGTTTATGAAACAGAGATCTGAAACATGCATGTTTCAAAAACATTTTTGTTTTCAACGTTTCTAAATCCAAGTAGATTTGAGAAAACACCTTTGCTCTCAATTATTATCAATACTCCAGTTAAACAGTTCTTTGTGTCGTTCAGTTCTCTACTCTTAAACTGATTTTAACCCCTGAAAGTTCGAAGATGGCTTTAAAAAGGTCAATACAAAATAAACAAACGATTACTGACCTTCATGATTTTACCGGACCCACAACGGTATTTTCACTGCTGGAAAGACCCAGTTATGAATCTGATAAATTCCAGGATTTGCTGACGTGGTGAAGAGATTTAAGACGCCTGAAGTATACTCAAAGGTTAAACATCTAACTATTAAATGAAGCTTTTGCTTCCCAAGACTTTTTGTTAAATATTATCTTATCTATGTTGTAAAAGAAGACTTATAAATTATGGTCCCGATTAAAGTTCTCTGACAACTGAATGATCCTTTCTTAACAGGATCTTTCATTTCAGAGCGTACTGTAGGAAGACTTTGAAAATGCTTCCAGGCACACAGATGCTGTCTTAGAATCCGCGGATTACTCAACTTTAGGGGTTGAAGAATTCGTTAAGATTTGGGACATGGTTTTTCATTAACCACGAAACAGTCATCTTGTTCTGTAAATGCTTTTTTCGACTTTTCTGGTTAGTTACAAGATATATGCGCTGTATGTGAACTTTATATTAATTACATTTAGAAACATGCTTTGATAAATCATATACTGTATTTGTAGAAGCAATGTCCAATGTAAATGCCTAAGATTTTGTTTTAAAGTATGAACTGTTTGACTATAGCGTTATAGTCTAGTACTGTATGCTAGCTTTATGTGTTTGTGGGTGCAACGAATTAGTTTAATTAAAAAAAAAAAACAAAACATACCGAAACGCACGGGGACGTAACAACAGTACATTTGATTTCTTTATACAGAACTACTGTTGTATTCAGAGGCTTCAGGGTACTTTTTTCACAGAACTGGACTAATAATAAAGATTGGGTGGTGATTATACACTACTTTCTTTTGGACCTGCAGAGACAGGATGGTAAAACAGGACTGAAATTGACAAGTGAAAATATAATGAGTGTGTGAGGGAATTTGGTTGTCTACTGTAAATCCCTAGATCTGGACTCTGTAGTTTCAAAATGGATGGTATTCAGTAAGTGGTGTGAAGAGTGAGTGCATATGTGTATGTATGTACAGAAGTGGTGAGTGATATTTCTTTCCTGTAGTTATTGTATATTCTGCATTAGGTATGATATTACTCCCCCTTGTGAGCATAGTAAATTCACAGCCCTGTAAATGCCACACTGGTGTTAGCAGTGGGATACCAAGGATAACAAAATGCCTAGCTAGGGAACTGCCTCTGAAGCTTTATGGCTTCACCACAAACAAGCAGTGCTGAGGGGGTCTAAAATGCCCACCTGAAGGCAATGACAGCAAATATCCCTGGTATGGTGCCACACTGGGTAGATATGGTGTTTGCTTGTCTGTTCACAAAACACATTTTTTTATCGTTTTGTTTGTTTCACAGTATGTACAGTATGTGATCTTGAGTTGGTCCGCTGAAGTATGAGAGGCTTGATTTGTTACATATTCGAGAAATGGAATTTCTGCTGAAGTTGTACTACTCTTCAAGGGACTTTGTTGCTGGGAATGCGGACACAGGTGCAAGTGCACACATCTGCTACCAGAAACATGAACGCCAAACTAAAGTAGGAAAAGAGGGCTGGCATTTTAGTACGGCTTTGAAAACACCATTTACCATTGCGTTGTATAATGTCCATTTTCAATGTCTGTTCCCTGGCTAACAAGGTCAAGTGGGCTACTCTGATTTGTTCCAGGTGAGGTATTGGCAGTTGCTTGGTGATTGTGTTTCACTGAGACATGGCTCAAAATTGTATCGGATTTAGAGCTACACCAGCGGGACTTCTCCCTGCACTGGGCTGACCGTACCGATGAATCACTCAAACTGGGGGGGTGGAGGAGTCTGTTTTTATGTGAACCAGAACTGTTGTTCGGATACTATAAATCTCTCACGGCCCTGCAGTCTCTTATCATTGGTTGTAAAACTTGTTACCTGATGCAAATTTGCCTCCATTATTGTGTTAGCTTTTTTGTATTCCTCCACAAACTGCGGCTCAGCTGCAACTCATATTTCAGAGGTTGAAAATTATTTGATACTTTTAGGACTTTAATCACACTAATTTAAAGAAGGTCTGAACAAAAGACTATGTTGCCACCAGGAACGATACATTTTGTACCAGTGTAATTACTATTCCTGATGCATTTCATGGCCCCTCTTGGTCACTCTGATCACAATGTGATTTTTCTCATTCCTATGTAAACCAGCAGTCCCAAGTGAATCAGACCAGAGACAGCAGTAAGACAAATGTTCTCCTTTATTCACAGTGTGTGCACAACGGGAGCTCCACAACACAAGTAAAACTTTCACAAGTAGAACTGATAGTACAAAGCTAGCATCAAAGATTAAATACATTTTCAGGTTGGCATGGCTAATTATCTATTCCCCCACCTACACTATCTCTTTCTATCTTAATTGGTTAATGAGTAACGCAGTGCAGTAAATGGTTACCAATTGACCATCAGATGTACTTTCCCAGCTTACATTCCATGACACTCTTTCCTAGTCGTCTTCACCTTCATCATCGAAACCTAAGGCCATAGCAAGAAGGTCTCCATAGCAACCCCTGGACATGGAGATGTTGAACGTTGTGTCCCCTTCTTGAACCAGCAGGGTTAGTACATTACCCCCCCCACACACTAATTTTCCCAGCAAACCAGTTCATACCAATTCTTATCAGGATGATGTAGAATTACTATCTACTAGTTCCTTCCATCAAGGTCATGTGATGTCTTCCTAGACATTCCAAATGATGTATTCTCAAAATATCCTGTGGAATGCTAGGCAGCTGGCATTAATGTATTAATATACATGAACATAATTAAGATACATGAATATATGGCTTTTCATATAACTTTAACCGGAGATACAGGCTGGGATGATTCAAGATGATTCTAAAGCATATTTGCATATATATTAGTAATATAATAATATAATACCACCACCAAATTGGCTGAGGGAACCATAGTAGGATACATGAGTTTCAGGATTTGATTTGTGGTCCACTTAAAATAAACACACATGCGGAAGGATATAAGCAAAACAACACTGGCCAACCAGCCCGAAGCCACTGTCAGAATGTCCCACCATCCCCAATAATGCATTCCCATCCTACTATCACCTGACTGAAGTGTTTTCACAGTTTGTTTGATAATATCAGTTTGTGATATTTCTCTAGTCTGTTGGCCTAACTTCTGAGTATAAGTTATAGCTTGAGTGATCACTGAAAATCTCTAGCCTCCTTGACAAGAGCGTCATTTTCATGCATTTGGCCGTGCCACCAGTGGTACATCTTTAAAGCAGTGAATACTCATCCAGGTAGATGCAGGTCCCCTAGACGGAGGGAATCAACTACCTGTAAACACACGGAAGCGTCACATGGGAAGGTTAGAAAGGTATATTGAAACACCGCAAGTGTCAGATTGGTCAGTTGAGTCATGACAGATGATATACTGTAGGACCCAGTTTCTGTGCAGCAGGAAAGTGGGAGCATCTTAACCCCTTCCTTAGTCGGAACCATGTATCCGTCGGTTGATAACAATTCGTCTGGCAGGATCCACGTGCCCTGATGTTTGAAGAGGTCTTCTTGTAAGGAGTCCACCAGGTCTCTGGCCACCATGTTGCCGGCTCTTCAATAATTAATTGGGCCTGGTCAATAATTACCTTTGTCCAGGATTCACTGGTCTGAGTCAAAGCAGAAACAGTTTCACTCAGTCCTCCTTGCTTATGCCGTACTTTTGTTGCAGTGAGAGGCTGGGGATAAGAGGTTACCTTACTACCTTACTTTCCTGATGCACACTGATGTGTGTTAAACAAGGGGATTAGTAGATGCTCATTCAGGAAGGCTTGAAGGGAGAGCAGATGGTTGTATACTTCAGTTGGGCTCTCAGCTGTACAGAACGAGACCACTGTGTGATGCACAGGGAAGTTTTGGCTGTCATAATCCAACATTACCAATATTTCCGTAAACCGGGTTGCCAGGTGGTATGCTGAAGGGGTGCTTCGATGTGCAGGATATAGCTGGAAACAATAGCACAATGCCCTGTCCCTTAAGCCAGTTGTGTCAAAATATGTGCCACCAATGGGGTGCACTGACACTCCAGGAGGAGCTCCCATACTATGGCTAGGAGGAACTGGCGGGCAATGAATCAGATAGCTGTTGAAGCTATACCGGGTCTTCCCTGGCATTCCAGGGTTTCCCCTGCCATAGTATATCAGGGATTACATTTTTTGGGGAAGTGAAGAATAGTGTCTGTTAAATGTCTCCAGCAGTTCTTGTACTAGGGTCACTGTGTGGAGAATGTGGCATAGTATTGGCAGAATTGTGATTTTTGGGTCGTGCAGTGTTTCACTACTGACATTCCAGGATCTGGGGGCAGATGTGTTGGGCTCATTCTGTGCTTTTAAGATGGCTATCACCATAACCTGATGTCTATGGACTGTGCCCCACCCCTGTTGCCAGCATACGTCTGGATGCAATGCTCATGAGTGAGGCTGGGGGCACCGAATTACTGTAGCTTCACAGTGACAAGGCATTGAACTTTAAGTCAGCTGTGTTCAGAGGTGTGCCGGTTTCTGGGGCAGGCAGAAGAGCTGGACCACTCCTCTTTATCAACAGTGCAATAAACTGGTTCAGCATTTCAATAGGACATTAGCCACACAGTTTACCACTCACAAGAAAGAGTAGGATCAACATGCCCTGATCTTGTGGGATCACTGGACCTCCATTCAGGACTTTATGTGAAATATGTGAAAAAAGACATTTGAAAACACATTTTATTTTATTTTTTTATTATTTTTTACCATATAAACTTTCATTATTACATGTCAAAAGTGAACATATCATACAATTTTAGACATACAGTATGTGGCTTATTTCCAATGATTTGTTTTATCTTATTTTAGTAGTTATTTGGCATATTGTCTGTGAAGTGATCCACTTTTCAAGATAGGCATTAATCCAAGTAAAGCAAAAACCACTCTTCCCACCTTCGTGCATACAATCTAAACTGACAGTAACTTATAGTTATTGTCTTAAATTTGACCTTTTTTTCCTCATTTGCTTACAAAACACATTTATAAGGAAGCAGATTTTAAAATGCAGAATGGGTATAATGTATTACTACTGCATAGTAGTTCAGGTGGGTAGCTGCGTCAGAATGCATAGGCTGCAAAGTAGTAAAGGAACAAGTAATAGGTTTATTCCTTGCTGAAAAGAGAAGAAAGAAAACACAACTGACTGCCCTATCTTTCTTACACCCGTAGAAGGCTCCACAGTCGAAATGTTGTGCTTTCTTTATTCTCTTTTCAGCATGGAATAAACCTATTACTTGTTCCTTTACTACTGCATAATTTAGTTGATTTAAATACAACAGAGACATTCTAATTTTTTTATTGAAACAGATGTAACAACAGTCATTACATACACGCATAGATAAAAGTACCCAGTTTTTCTATCCACTGTTTAAGATAATCACATATTTAAATATACAGTATAAGATTTAAAATATGGAGCTGACTAATCATCATCAGAGTCATCTACATCCAGGAAGACGTGATCAGTGTAGTCAAAAGATGGAAACTTGATTGCAAGCTCACTCCACTTGCTGAAGGTTTTCTTTTGCTTGTCTTCAAAGGACACCACAAAATTTTTGATACCTAAACAAGGGCATTCGATTCCCCGGTGTACCATCATTGTACCCCAAGCCTAAACAAAAATGAACAAAGAATCTCTGATTCTTTACATGCAAAAAAAAGATTACAAAATTCTTATGCATCATAGTGCTTTTGATTACATTTGTTGCAACGTTAACACATTTACTAAATTTGGGGATGATAACTTTTGGCATGTGTTACAATGCAATATGTTAGATCACATTTAGATGCTGTCGTATCTAAATGAATTTACTTTAGTCTTTTGAACAGATCACAAAAAGTCCTGTTTGCAAAACAGTTCGTCAATCTGCTAATTATTTCCCTAAGATTTACAGGAGCTCACATGATCTCAAACATTTTTAAGACTTAACAAAAATTTATAAAAGTTTCCAATGAGCTGTCCAATTTGTATTATGTAAGAAATTCCACATTTATTCAAATGTTGTTTTTTTGATGATCATGTAAGACAACCAGATTGCTAATAGTTGCAAATTTCTGGTCAACAACAGTGTAGTTTAAACCTAGCATATTAGCAAATATATTCAAATTTAAACAATATGCAAAGATAAATTGAAATAGCATGAATATTTTACTTATTATTTATCATAAATATATTTTTTCTCTTCATTATAGTAATATTTTAAGCAACTCTTACCTGTGCACATTTCCTGCATGCTATTTCACCATTAACTTCGTAGTCAAGGAACCTTTCCTGTAGTGCTTTATTTTCTCTCACTAAAAATAGTTCTCTGAAAATAAATGAAATATATAAATTCATCATAGATAAATATATTTATCAAAGTTTTAATAGATCTTTGATAGTTAAACTCTTCAACTAAACAGGAAAGTCGGTACTCATGATAAAGGATGTTATGCGTAATATAAATAAACATCTTACAGTACCAACTGGACATTTTATTTCACTGAATTTGATGATATATTCAGAATTGTAAAAATATATAGAAATGATGTAGTTTTAATTATACATAGTGCAAAAAAGTTTTGCATTGGCAACCATTGCAAAGCCATTACTAGAACATTAATAGTAATATGGCTTGAAAGGGAAATGTCTGGGGCATCTGACATCATGGGCAAACTATTATAAATCAAAATATTGTTCCATCACAAACAGCAAGCATACATCTGGGTAACATGTTTCTACAACATGAAGCCTATTGCACTGTCTAGGATGAGTTATTTATGACATGGTTAATCTAGGCTCATGTGTAAGTTTGCGTGGTGTCCAAATCCAAAAAGATATTTTCACTGCAACTATTACGCTTCTTTCCAATTTTTAGATATCCAATAGTTCTAAATAGTCCAATAGAGATCACATCTCCAAAGTTTTGTCAGAAAGATTGGGTAAGAAAATGTATCGTTCATAATTACTCTTCTATCACATTACCTATGAAAGTTCCCTATGATGAAGGTTTTAACTTAACATTTTGTGCCAAGTTTTCAAAACTTTATTTAAAACTTGCATGAATTTCAGAAAACACCTGCTTTCTGTTTCTGTTAAAAACGAATCAAGAGGTGACAGACGCAGAGAGTGTAATTGTGCAAATTAAAAGCATGAGTTGAGAAAGTGATTTAAAGAATTTGTGTGAAACATGCTCGTACTGTGACACAGTTTGAAACAGCTCAGTATATTAAATGCAGGACTTACTTGAATTCTTTAGTAACATTTACATGGTGACTGTTTTCAATGACCTCAATGTTTTCACCAGAACAGATGAGTTGGCTGCAGTTTCGGCAACTAAACTTCACTTTTGATGGATCTTCCTGAAGCACCCTTTGTTTCTTTTTCTTGGTACGCACTCTCTTTTCCATAATAGCCTGAATCTGAAATCCCTTAATCTTAACACAGTAGAAAATGCACAAATTTAAAGACATCTTCATATTTTAAGAACCTATAATTTGTGAACTAAACAGAGATCTCGCAAATAACAGTGCTTCTTACTGGTTTATTTAGCATATTTATTATTGGTGTAAATTAATTTTATTAGTAGCAACTTCTTCAACTTTATTAGTAGCAACTTTTTCTTCAACATATAATACACTATTCATATGGACTTGAATTAGCTAAACAGCTAATTAAACACATTAGATATATGTATTCTTTATATAATGCAAATGAAACAGGCAGTTATATGACTTATTAACCTTCCATGTGTCATATTTGATGCTTTATCCCAGTCTTACCTTTTTCTCATAATCTTTTCGAATTAATCTTTGTACTTTCTCAATGGCTTTCTTCATCATTTTCTCACGAAAAACATTGACTCCTTCACGCTCAACAACACCTGATCCCTCACTAGCAACTAGAGCATAAGTGCTGTCATCTGCTCTTGCCCTTCCTCTTGCCTGAAAAGAGAAACCCATCAAAGTGAATTAATATCTAATGTAATGTTGTACAAACAGTGACTAAATCCTGTGATAATTAAAACTGAACCGGTCTCTCAATGTGTTTTTTACTGATTGCTAGTAATGTTTAGCAAACAGTTGTCCATTGCATAATTACATGCTTGCTTGTTAGCAATCATTTATAAAGCATTTCATCACAATGTGACTTGAAGCAGTATTGGTAGGGGGTTTGAACAATTTGCGATTCTTCCACCATAATTCCTTATCAATCTACACAGGATAAGAGTAAATACACATTGCATTTTGCCTTTTTTTAAGACAAAACTGGTCAAGTGACTCAGCCAATTAAAATATGACAAGGAATTCACACATTTATAAGTTATACATTTGCAGTTACAATGGTGGTGAAACTGTGAATTAGAACATTTGCTAAAATTTGCTCTTCACTGGGACTGTTGTCCGGAGTCCCATCTTGTGCCCTTGTGCTTTCAGAACATTTTACAGGTTATCATGGGAAATACCACGATTAAGCAACTTTCTAAATATGGATGCATGGTCTTCTCTATGTCTTGCATTGCTGGTGATACAATTAAGCTGTGCTAAACTAGTTTTGAATAACTCACCTGGACCATAGCAATCTCATTGGTTACAAGGCCATATCGAATAACTATGTTGCATTCCTTTATATCCAGTCCCTCTTCAGCTACCGTAGTTGCGACAAGCAAGTTGATCTCACCATGACGAAATTTGTCCAGAACCTCTCTTTGCTCTGCCTGTTAAGAATACCCAGAAATAGGTTAACCATAGAATTAATTTAAAAATAATTAGATCATTACTGTTGATGGTTGTGCTTCCATATGAAACAGGTGAAACTGTAGGAGACATTTGTCTTGCTCAGACCAGTCTTAAGTGTGATATCTAAAATGCATAAAATGAGGGAGGAAAAGGGGATGCATAGTAATGGAAGAACTTGTCACCATTTATCTGTAGCCGCAGCTTACTCTTCAGGTCTTCATATTCCACTTACCGCAGTCATTGGCTTTATTATACTCTGATGGCCTGCCCCGATGAGGTGACTGGATTTCACTCCAGCTTCCTCAAACTTTTTATTCTCTTGAATCCACTGGTTTAAGGCAATTGCACTGAGACGGGTCTTGGTGAAAATGATCCCTCTTGCTTCCTCTGGTTTTGTGAACTCTTCTAGTATAGTAGTCTTAAGTTGTGCCAGATTTTTATTCTCATAAGCAGGATTTTTTGCCAAATCCTGAAGAGTCTGCTGGTTATCTTAACAAAAATGAAATAGGTGTACAATTACATTGCCATAGCATATGAAATTATTTTCATTGAAACTGTTAATATACTTTTATTGAATGATCATTTTACAGGACAAACACAAACTGTGTGTTATGAACAAAAAATGAAATATACCTTGAAATAATTTAAAGAGATATTTGTCCGTTTCACTGGTTTCTGCAAACATTGTGCTATTTTCTTCATCGGGCCGAATTTTGTTTCTTATTTCTTCATCATAAAATTTCTTCAGAAAGTTAAAGGCATCTGACATTCTAATTGTGTTATTTTGATTCAATGCCTCATTGTATTTACGCAGATGCTCAGCACAGACCCGAACTTTTTGGTTTTCTTCTTTTGCAGCTGCAATGAAATAATTAATCACATTTAACTTCAAATTAGCTTTACAAAACACAGCTGTGCACATAAAGCCTTACAATGTGAGGAGGGAATTCTACAACAAAGCACTTCAACTTTGACCAATTGGACAGGAGCAGCTAGTTGAACACCATGTTTCATTAACTTGTCACCGATTGGAACAAAATAGTGTGCATTGTTCAGAGATACAGTATTATTTACTTTTGTAGTATAACAGTAAATTACATACGTTATGTCCTTGGCCATACCTTTTTGTTCCTTCTGAACTACCCATTGCTCATAGTTTTGAGTGCCTGGGTCTGAAGATGGTTTCAGGTTGCTGTGTTCATGTATATCTTGCATAATTCTTTTAATTAGATCTCCAAAAGGATCCTGAAATATAGAGTGGATTGCTTAACAAGTTAAAATATAGTTATGTTGATCCATGACCTAGACCAAATACATCTTGTGCATTGGTTAATTGTAAATGTAGCATATTAAAGTCAATGTTATTAAGTGATATGCCTACAGTTATGCAGAATTTTCAGTTTGTGGCTCCTCATATTCATCAAACAATACAATACTACAATAAGATTCTTCTAGTGCAGTTTTTGCAGTTTTATTCACTATCCATTACCTACAACATGTTTTTCTCTCCTACGACAACATACAGTATATGGGATCTGATTGGTGTAATATACAGGTGTCAGCGAGTGATTTTGGTTAATTGTACCAAATGTCTGGAATGTTTTCCTGTTTTCTAAATTTGTCTCCCTTTGGGTGGGGAGTACTTTGTTAAGAACCATGTCCATAAATTTTATGATGCATCAATTTTCCGTAGGTAAAACTGCATATACATAGTCAGGCACCAGATAAATGGAAAATTCTTTGTTTGTGTCAGACTTGAAGTATGTGCAGTAATGTGTTTCATGAACTGTTAAATATGAAGGTGTAATTCAGGGCTAAATATCTAATGAAAACTGTGTAGACATTGTTAAACTGGATTCAGTATGAATCTAGGCAGTTTAAAAGAACCTACCTCTTTTCTCTCTTCAGCAATTGCAATCTTTTTGTATGGCTCTTTTACTTTTTCTCCTAGTTCTCCGGCATTTATCTGCACTGTCATTATTTTGTATGCATCCAGATTTGCACAGATCTAGAGAAGTCAAATAATTTGTAAATGAATTGCCAAAATTGTATTAATTATAAATTAATAAGGAATTTAACAACAATGTATACAGTATACAGTGGTGCTGAGGTGTTTATTTTATGAACCTGCATACAGTACATCTAGCACTCACATAAAGTAAAAATAATGCCTTCAGCAAAAAGGTACAGTGTACAGTATATAAAAGGTAATGGTATTAACAATGGTACAACACATGTTATCTTATTATGTTAAAATATTATATCCTTTTAAGACTTGTTTACTAATGCTATTTAGTAGGTGCAAATCATTTTCTGTTTTTATATATTTTAAAACTATAAAACACTGAAAAATAAAATAGTTTTATTGTTGAAAGGGGACACACATCATTGTATTTTCTAACAACAAGTTCGCTTAAAGTGGACTCCTGAAGAGTTCACTTCTTGGAGAAGGAAACTCTTGTTAGCAGGCTTGCAGCCTGTAAGGAAAAACAAAAACTGTTTTCAATATATTGCTCTAAAACTTCAAAAGTGTAATAGCTAGTTTTTATGGCTCTATAACACCCAGGGGATTTCTAGTACTTTGGAAACAGAGCTACAGAAAACACAACTTGAGAGAGGTCCATATTTTTAGCAAAATCCTGTTTCGTGATATGTCTCAGAAATGCCATTCATCAACTGCTTACTTTTAAGATGTGCTCTTCTGCTTTCTGTGAATTCTTGGCACCCCCAACCCCAGGCGATGCTGTTAACCCCAGAATCTGAGGAATGGGAACAGGCTCCTTATTCTCTTTCCGGAGTTCTTCATTTTTCATCTTTTGCTTTAAGTAGCGTGTCATGATATTGTTATATACTCCTCCTTTCTGAGTATGATGGCATTCATCTATCACAATGAGGGAGATATCTGTGTATAAAAGAAAAACAATGCTAAAATACTTTGACTAACAGAATTCAATTTAATGGACAAAAAGTATTTTAGGGGCATATTTTATATGTAAAACTAAACATTTGGCTTCTGGTATTTTTTCATTCATTTTTATTTATTTTTCATTTCACTGCCATGCATCAGCTAAACCTTTGCCACTGATGCTCTACATTTGAATTTTAAATATGTATTCCTCTTTGTATAAAAAGAAAAGTGTAAAGGTACATAATTGATATTGTTTAAAGGTCTGTCCAAGATATCGTTGGCGTTGTTTTATAATGTGTATAAACTCCTTTCTAACTTTTCATGGAAATTTACTGCCTTTCTTAAAATGCAGTATTTTAACATTTCAAAGACAAATATGTTGAACAACTAACACATTTTCACTGTCAGGGTATGAAAAATAGGTGATAAAATGCCTACGTTTACTAACAGAAGTTTAAGAAGGTTATTACAAATGCTACCCCAGAGGCAAATATAAATCTGGAAAGGAACATTAAATTTTCTGTCTGCCACAATGACAGAAGTTCTCCTGTGAATTGTTTTATCTGTAGACTGATGACTTGAACAGCAGTGAGACCTGGAAACCAAAGACAAAAAAACATCCAGGCTTTTAAACAAACAGCATATGCTATACAAATGGGAATTCGACTTTAGATTGAATAGTGCCAGCACAGCCAACCAAGAGAACTCAAGGACTGAGTCTGTCAACAAACCCTTCTGAAAGTACAGTCCACAGGGGTACAGTTCTGACCACACATTTAGTCTCTACTCAAATCTGTTGGAACATTCTGAAAACTGCCAAGCTCCCAAAAGGAAAAGAAATATCGAGAAACCAACCATGAAAGTACATTTGGAATTTAATGCAAATGCTAACATTCCAGAAAAAATACTTTTTAATATATATATATTCATTTACAAGTGAATATAATCAAAGTACAACAAGGGGTGATCCTATAGTTCATCATTGCAGAACACTGTCTCCAAACATATTGGTGCTGCTATCCTCATAAACTAACATTCTTTATGGCAGGAGTTAGTAGTGTTTAGGTGGGGTGCGCTTGCAGGGGTGAAAATTATTTTCTATGCATTTGTCTTTGGGGGAAAAAACATTTTTTTTTTCTCTTTCAAATTATTTTCTCTCCGTGTTGCATTTTACACCTTAGGAAAAGAAAAATAAATGTGGGAGGGGGACTTCCCATCCTGGTAAGCGAAAAGAAGAGAATGCTTTGACTGCAGCCAATTTTCATTGTCAATTTTTTCTTGGAATTATGTGGATTACCCCTCCTTCGTTCTCTATTTGTCTGTGGGGAGGACTGCTAGAGAGTTCCGGGTAAAGCGGAAAACTCGGTGAAACTGAGTCAATGAATTGTGGATGTGAATAGCGATGGATCTTCAACAGCAGTGATGTGGTCAGCCGAGTTCAAGTGTATGTCTTTTGGGAAAGACCTTACAGTACGTAGGTCATTTCATATAATACGTTTAGGATAACCAGGATCTATATCTTTTATTTTGATGCTTCAATGCATGAACTGCATTAACAGACAGCAGAAAGAGCTCACATCTCCCACTAAAGTGTTTTGACAATCATCCATAAGCCCCAAAACCAACTATAAATGTTGTAACCATTTTCTAGGACCTAAAGAAAGACTGATGGCTGAGCATAGGCAACATTAAACTTAAGGTACAGCAAAGCATTTATGCCCATTGGATCGAGAAATTAAGGAAAACCACCAGCCAAAATAGGAAGGAAGCTGACCCAAGGTGGATTGTGTTTAATGATCCGATACCTACTGTACAGTATGTGCAAATTTGCTCAAGCAAGTTACCATTTGTACTGAAGCTGCTGAATCAAAAACATTTCAATTCAAAGTCTCCCTGATGCTGAGCTATAAAATTATAGCTTGAAACATGTGAAGGAGAAGTGTGCTAAGTACAGTGAAGCCAAGAGGAAACATCTTGAAAACTGATTGAAACCATGTGGCAAAAGTCATATGAATTTACTATGAATTTATTAATGCAGATGTGTACATTACATTACTTTTACATTACTTAAATGGTTGTATAGTTTAATATTTTACCTTTATTTCAGATTCTGTACTATTTTTGTAGCCCTGCTTAGTGTAGCAACACATAGAAATTAATATACAGTAAAATATATTTTTAGGAAGTTGTGTTCACTTAAGAGCATTTTTCATGTTATGTGCTGTATGAACATTTTAAACAACAATTGTTACACAAAACTGAGCTGAATGTTGTTTTTTTCCTCAATGAACATGTGCCATTTTAACTTCTCTAATATAATTATAAATATGGGAAATATAATTATAAATATAAATTATAAATAAGGGAAAACAATAAACAAAGGTACATTACCTGACATACGAACCCCTTCATCTTCCTCATTTTTTGCCTGTGAAAAGGAGTTTTCCAGAATCTGTGCCGTGCAGATAATAATATCATTGTTTTTGACAATGTCAGAGAAGGAGATTTTCAGTTGTGAATCTCCACTGACTCTTTCCACCTTGTACTGGCTTTTTAGGTGCTTGCCAAACTCTGTGCGGTAATGCTGCTCCACCAGAGGCACCTGCAGAAATAAAAAAATATATATATCCACAGTCAGAATGCCAAAAACCAATATAACTGTGCAGTTCTGAAGAGGAGTGTTGGATGGTGAGACCATAACGGTGTTAAGCTCCAGTGTAAACCTCTAAAGTGGTAAAAATGATTTGTGAGGAAAGAAACAAGTTCAAGTAGCATCTGTGTAATGAAGTACTAGAATCTCCAAAAATGGTATTTCAAGATGTACAGTATAAATGTGAATGCTGTGTCAGTGAAGAGATGATGAGAAGGTTGCTAAGTAACACGATAGGCCTGCTGTCATGTAAAACTAACCATAAATACAGACAATATTAGAAAATGAATGATACATTTATTTGGATATGAAATACAATAGTATATATATATATTAAGTCCCATGTAAGTCAAAAGTTTTTTATAATTTGTCTCTTATAGCATTATGTTTGAAGAACATCTTTTTGGTTCAAAAGCCCAGGAAATGCAAGAGTGGTCATATTGTGGGAATTATATTTTAATTATATCTTAAACACTTGTGTCTTGTAACTTTCTACTCCAACGGTTGCAAAAGTATGTAGTTCTGCTTTTGTCTATATATGCTGAATTGTCAACGTATATCATGTTGCAAGGCATAACTGCCATAGTTACAAAAACAATAAGGAGCTTGCTTGACTGCTTTACAGACCTTACTGTATAAAAAGACCACTCTTTGTAATACTTGGCTCCCATATGCATATGTAATAATGAAGACTTCTGCTACATGGACACCCGAATTGCTGTCATTTGTTTGACACAACAATATTGATCAACTAGTGTAAGTCTAGAGTGAGTCTGCGTGAGAAGAAATACTGACTTTGTAGGTTTGAAATACCTTACTTGGTAAGATAAATGTATACTGTAAAGTAATGCAAATCAACTTCAAACACTGCATTAAATATTTTATGGTGGATAGATTTTGTTTGAGTAAGCATAATTGCTTAAAAGTGAGGTTTTATTACTGCAGTGTATTCTATGTTTTTTGGAGTGGTGATGTATTTGAAAGTACTACACCAAAAATAAAATTTCCATTTGTTGAACACTTCTTAAGCTCTTTTAAGCAACTACAGTATAGGTATGTGATATAGCTTAATACAATTGTGAATCACCACAAACGTAAAGGAAGATGAAGACCACACACAACACTAACTTTTTAAACTATTTCCTTCATTCACCCCCCAGAAATTTATGGTTTATTTTTGTACTTCATCAAAAAGATGATACTTTTGGACGTTTTGATAAAAAAGTACCCATTGGTAGTTCCATTCCAAAATTCAATTTATTTTGCTTCAGTAGACCTTCTGTTCTCCCTTTGTCATGCTAATGAAAGAAAGGTGAGGGGTATCATCCATTTTCATAATGTGTTCTCTAAAGAGTGAAGAAAATATGATAATTGTTCTGAATGTTTCTTCTTACATACAGTACTCTTTCTTCTCTTTTCATACATGTACATTTTGTATGTTACTATAGAATTACAGTATGCATGAAGCCAAACTGAATTTTATACTGTATAGGGCAATTGTTTGAATTTGCTTCTAGATACAGTGAATTCTAAATATGTATAAATTGTCCTGTTTTTTTATTAGAACTGGAGTGTAGTAAGCTAAAACAATCTTTGAAACATTTGTGATAAGAATGCAAATATGCCGCTAGTGAATGAGATGTTTTAGTAACATTTGAGGTACAGTATAATACAGCTTTATTTACTACAGAGATGTTTTTTATGTTGGATTTAAGTACAAAAGGTTCATTTTCTATTTATGTTTATACTTAATAACATTATTTCTGCATGGCAATTGTGAAATAATGCAAGTTTTGGTCATTTTTATTACACCCTGGTTGTGAACATGTTTTTAGGCGTCTCTATTATAAGTACCTTGTTCACTAGAACTATAGCTTTCCCAGGATGTTTTTGTATTCTCCTCTTGTCCAGATGTTGTTTTGTGATGTAGACTGCAACCCTGGTTTTCCCACTTCCTGTTGGTAGGCATATAATGATGTTTTTGCCTTCTAATGCTGGTTTTGCTACCTCCATCTGATAATCTCGAAGAACAATCTCAGCTTCTTGAAAACCCCCAGCACTGGAATCTGAAAAGTGAAACAGAATTTCCTGCAATTACACATGAATTACAGACGTTCCCCCTTAACATCTTGCATGATCTCAAAACCTGTACACCAAATCCCACCAGCATGAACCCTTCAAACAGGATATTTTAAAACATTTTAGGTATTCTCTGTACAAAAATAAATTATACAACTTTTCAAGTAAGAATGCACAAAACCTAAAATCATTAGGGGCACAAGTTCATCCAAATATTCCCATCAGGGATGGTTATTTTTCATAGGGAATGAGTTTTACTTATTCACAAACAACCTAGGGCACAGTTTAATCCACAACTTCCTGGATAGCATTTACAATGGAGAATAAACAAAATGACTTTTGTTCTTAGGGACAGCTTTATCCACTGCATGTTGTGGAATACTTTGAAAGGTATTTGGATTGGAATTTGGTGTTTTCTGAAAGCAGACATCAGCTTTCTAGTAATAAAAAAGTGTCTTGAGTAAAGCAAGTGCTTATTTGGTTATTACATAAGCTGTTCAGATATATTATGCACTCCCCAGCTTCATATTGTTTCAGTCTTCCCTAATAATGTTTTAAAAATCCTCCTATTCACCTAAGGTATGTCTGGGACAAAATGTGCTGTGGGTTACAAACAGCAGAAACCATATAGAAAAAAAGAAGTGGGCCTCTTTTCACCAGGAAGCAGACTGCCCCTGATGGTTTCCTGTCTTTTTTATGAGATATTCCCAGACCCTTTTTTATTAGAGGAAATTCCACAATTAGCCACAGTTAAAATGGTAGAAGCCAATAATTTATCAATTGTGTTACAACCATCCCCATCCATTTATATTAATGATAATATCAGAAAAATAAGATTAAACGTAAAATCCAAGAAGTTTAAATTGCTGTACAAATGAAAGAAAATATCAGCAGATCAGTCTTCCAAAATGAATCAAAATATTTAAGGCCATTTTGAAGTTTGGGATCTTTTTCCTTTCCAAGAGGCACTAAAAAAGAAATTTATTAGCAGCCTTTTTGGACATTTTGCCTTTCTAGGAAGTTAGTACATCTGGAAAAGCTTCTGAAATTTAAAATATATAATTAACTGGCACTCATTAACTTCTTATCATATTAAAATGTTACATTGTGATAAGATTGCAAACTGGTTTTAATATGATTTAATTACAGTCCAATTTACAGTTAATGTTAGGGTTATATACTGGCTTGTGCTAACACATATTAATCTCTACAAGCCATATGGTTTTAATATAAACCATTACACTGTAAATGCCTCATCTTTTAATACTGTCTGTAATACTTGATGAGTAAATATTGTGGTGATAGACAGTATAAGAAGATAACTATAATTAGGTTTCTTTAAGAACAGTAAATCTAGACATAAAAAAGCAAATGAAAATGATATAGTGCAAAGTGATTTGAATCTGTCATGTACTGTTAAAGTTTATTTCAGCCATCACTGACACGTTATGCACCTTCAGTTCCCTTGTCGGAATGCATTGAAATATTCTCTTTTAGGATTTCAAATTGGATTGACATAGGCAGCTGGGGAATTTATCATTTACTTCACTGTTGGGTTTAAAAAAAACATTTTGAATCTGTACATACTGTAAGCAACCATCTGATTACACAATGAAAAGGAGAAAGTATGAACAATGTCCATATATAATTCGATGAAAAGATCATACTCCAACAGGACTGCAGAAATAAATAGATGAACAAATAGCAACAGGTGTGATTTAATTTAATATTTAATTCTACTCTTTAAGATTCATTTTTTCCAGACAAAGAAAAATCTTACCACAATAAAAAATATCAATGTTTAACTTCAGTGTATCAATCCAATACTGAATCATTTAATTTTTTAAAGTTATATGTTAAGAAGTAGTTCTTTAAAACTTTACGAAAATAGTACTGTAACTCAAGATCTTGTTTCCATTTCTTGTTTCCCTCATTGTGTCCTGAATTATATTTATTATAACATCTTTAATGTAAATATGAAACATGACTAAAATATACCAGATTCATCAGTTTATTTGAACATTTTCCACTTAATAAATGATAACAGCATGTCCTGGCATAATGACACAACCTCAAATGCAGATTGCTGGCTACTTATGCATGGAACAAAAACATTACATACACACCTAAAAGCTTCTGAAAAGCGTATGCACTGTACATCTTAAAAGCTTAACAAATATGTGACTTTTTATATATACGCAGCACTTCTGCCCTGTCTCATCTGGATGGATTCACTTTGCAAACAAATATATGACTAGTCTCCTCAAATGCATTTTAGCAAGTAATAAATCTGATAGCTGCTGCAATTTATCTAATGTAAGCTAAATGGATCCACCATAAAAAAATACTTATGCAATTGTTCCCAGGTGTCACTTTAAACAAGATAGCTGTTTTTTTGGAGTTATTGGGTGTAGGTTAATGCAGTGCCTAAATCATACCACAGAGTGTCCATAGTTCACTGTTAGAACAAATATTAACTTCTATCTGTATTTGGTTTCTCCTTGCTTGATGAAGTATTGATGCACTTTGGTTAGATACACAACTCTGTCATCCTTCCTGTTTAATCACCTGCTCATGTTGTGTAATGGACAGCTTTTACTTTGTTTTTTGCTGCGTGATTGTATATGTATGAAGAGAGATCATATGTATACACATGAATATATAGAAATATACATGTCTTACAAGGAACACCTTTCAGAGTTATGGTGTCTCTTTAAGAGCAAGCAGTTGCTAAGAATAATGGGAATTAATATTATTTAGCTATGACAATGGAACTTGTGATTTCACATGTAAGTATCCACGTCTGCAATTACCCCTTGTTTGGTGATCATAATATATCCATGGATCAGCTCTGGAATGATTAACTGATCATTAAATGATTAAGCTGCCTGCATTAGGCTCTGTTCTTTCTAAGGTTTTTGGTAGTCTTCAAAACTGAGACTAAGTCTTGGCATATTCTCCTAACAATCACGAGCAACCTCTGGTTAGATGTGGACAGATAAATATCCATCACTGGTTGTAACATGTACAGTATGTATTCAACCAGCTATAGTACAAATTTCAAATGTAAGCAGCACACATACCATACAGCATATGACATTAATCAGTTACAAGTAAAGGCATATAATGTGAAATAAAACATATGGTTTCATTTTTATTCTTAACTCAATGTTAAGAGATAATTATAACCTGAACACATATTGCAGTCTGAAACATTTCTTTTGGCATTGAACATATGTAAAAAATGTATTTCTGGCATAACATCCAGGAAGCAAACAGTTAACAACCAACTGTTAAGATATACAGTATATCTACTGTATTTGTTTATGAAAGAATTATAATGATTAAAGCAACATCATTTTGTGCTTTTTTTCAGCAGAAAATTCTATTTTAAAGAAGAGTTTTTTCTTTAAAGCTTCTTTTATTTAAATCCAGTTTGTATAAAAGTGTTGCAGCAGATTGGCATTTACATTATGCTGTGTTGACTTAATGCTTGGAGATTACTGGCTTTACTTCCATACAAAATAAACAAAGAGGATCTGCTTATTTTTAAAATGAAACAGTAAGTGTGCACATAACACAAGGTGAATCAAATAATAAAAATAAAATATCTAGATGTATTTCATTGTGTCATCTTAATAATAGAAGGAAATACAATCATATTAACATACTGTATTATGTTTTTCATTGCTTGGAACAACAAATACTTTTTTCCATTTTCCATTTGTCCATATTTATTTTTCCTATATACAGTATTTATACAGACCTTTAAAAGAGGCAAAAAAAGTAAAGGAACATGATAAATGTTTCAAAACTTTCAGGAAATTCAAAAGTCAGATGATATTTTAAAATACTAAGCTGCATGTGTTTGCAATTCAGAACACTGGCTCCATTACATACACTTTAACCTCTGTGAGGTTTGTGGCGTTACACATGGAACATATTTTCATAGCCAGCTAGGGTGAATTGTGTTTCTTTGTCAGTGTTCATTGTTTAATTTTTAGCTTTCATTAAGAACTAAAGGAATATCTTCCAGTTCAAAACTACCCTGAGTTCTTTTGGTTACTGTAAAAGAATGATAACTCTCTATGACATTTTTTCTCCTTTTTTATGTTGATTGGAGACCATTCAATATAGGAGTTTTCAAATGTGTACTTAAGATATGCAGCTCAAGACTGATGACAGATCAGATCCTGTTGTGTTTTCACAGAAGCAGGTTATTTTTAATGGAGTAGACCCCCTTTCTGCTGGATGCTGTGTAAATGAAGAATACCAGGGTCTGATAGGCGAATCACCCTTGTGTTGAATTCTCATGCTGTTTTTTTGCAGAAAAGCATGGGATAATTTTTTTGAGTGAATTATTGATAAACTGATGCTCTGCTGTTGTGTCTCAACACGTAGCTCACGTGTTCATGGGAGCTTTATGTAACTCTACTTGTTACAGTACATCTTTATAATCAGGTGCAATAAAAATTATATTGTCTGTCTTTATCTTGCATTACTATTACAGTCAACTATAAAACTGTGATACCTGTTGTACAAATTGATAAATCAGCTGTTGAACCTCAAGTTCAATTATATGTTCATGTGAAATATGAGTTAAGTTCTTGTGTACTTTATGTCCTGGTTTTTATATCTCACGTAATAATGGGATTAGTGATACTTTGGAAAAAAATACATCTTGCATTTATTTTGTCACTGTACTGTACGTGTTATAGTACATCTTACAATCAGGTGCAATAAAAAATGTATTGCCTGTCTTTATCTTTCATTACTAATACAGTAATTGCATTACTAATACGAATACAAACCACCATTGTTCCTGTTCCTAAGAAAACTAGAGTTAGTTGCTTGAATGACTACCGCCCTGTTGCACTCACATCAGTTTTTATGAAGTGCTTCGAGCGGTTGGTAAAAGCACATATAGTCTCTTCACTGCCTGACACCCTAGGCCCACTGCAATTTGCATATCATCAGAACAAGTCAACAGAGGATGCTATCACTACTGCCCTCCATACCTCTCACACCTGGATAAGAAAGGAACACATGTGAGAATGCTGTTTGTTGATTACAGTCCCGCATTTAATTATTATGTAATTTTATATTGTAACTTTTAACTCATGTAATTTTTATTCTATTTCCTCCACTGAGTTGCGGAAAAAAACATTTCATTGACAGCGGTTACTGCTGTCCACTGAATTGATGTGCATTTTGACAAATAAACTTTGAACTTGAACTTGAACAGTCAGCTATGAAACTGTGACAACTATTGTACAAAGTGATAAATCAGCTGTTGCATGAAGGTGATTGCCAAAAAATGAATATTAATATACAGGAGCAGAAAAAATAAATAAATTTTGAGTTTTCAGAATCATACTGATTTTCACATACAGGATATCAATGTTTACATGAATAGTAGGTATGCACGGTTTATTGAACAGATATGTTCAAGCATGTATAAGTAGTACATTTCAAAGTAGTTTACAAATACAAAACTTGATTTCATTTTTTCTAACAGATACTGTAGCTTTAGTGAAGCATTAGGCATTTAAATTAGTAAGTGAAGCACTTATAAACATTTGTGACAGGTCATGTCAACTACTTTTATGATTGGTGAATATAATATTTCCTTCAGGAGATTCCATGTGTGAATGTGATGTCAGTATGAGCTCTGACAATATTGATGACTTGATCTGTCTGTCAGAGATGACGGGAATTACTTAAAATACCACCTTGGACTAAAAATCAGATACATTCTCAACACTACAGGTATTGACAGTTTTGTGTCTCAGTAACAAGGTCAGGATTCCTATATTCAAATATCAGGAGCTACTGTATGTACAGTATTGATACTTCTATTATGCTTATAACTTGTTTGCCATTGTGATCAAATACTGAATTTAGAATATACTTATCTTTTGTTTTATTGATCACTATATACTCGATTGAATGCAAACACTCTTAAACACTGTTTAATATTTTCTGTGAATCATCATTTTATAGGACACTTTATTCATAGTGCACGAAAGGTCTTGAAAACATCCTTCAACAAGGATGAACAAGGCTTCACTTGAAAGGTGGTTTATGACTGGTTTTTAAATACTCCATCACCAAACGTTTCAGTTTGAAGCTAATCAGCACCAATACTTTTTAAAGGAGCTGTGTTATTTTTTTATTCTGAAATGACAAATAATCTCACTTGAGAAGCAGCAATTGGGAGATTTACTGTACATTAAACAACAGATAAAAAAGAGACAGACTGATGTGGGAACCACTGCACAAACACAATCCAAAATATTGTACGTCACCACAGCCTGACAGTCTGAACATATTTAAGGAAAGTTCTGTTTCCACAAAAAATAAAAGCTAAATAATGATTTGCAGCTACTGATGAAAAACATAACAAGAGCTTGGCCATAGCCACACAAATGAAAATAATATAAGTCAATGAGGTAATACTGATTCAAATTATTTTCAGAAAACAAAAATGTGCTCTAGCTGTTGTAATACAATATTCGATGTGTCCAGGGTTTCCTCAGCAGTTTTTTCCACCAAACAAAGTCAAACTACTCGGCAAGAATTAACTCTATGAGGGATGATTATATGCTCTGATTAATCTGAGCAGTCTAAATACATAAATTGTTGCTAAGGCATGCTTTTTTCTCTGTTACATTTTGGAAGTACAGTATATTATAATATTAAACTGTGGCTGCAAAACATACTGTAACTCTTCTGTCCAGTTTTTGATATTTTAAGATTTCTTGAAACTTGATCCAAGAATAGTACCAAGTAAAGGAGTAGTTTAGTCTGGGGATGCTGTAAATTCCATACCTGACTCTGAGAAGTCATTGGATTGCAAACTGTTTCCATTCACGGTCAGTTCTTCCTGCTTCTCACCTTCGGGACCATCTGAGTACAGGTCTGAAACTGAAATAAACACTTATATCTGAATGGGCTAGTTATTTGACTGAAAGCATTTATTTACTGTTTGTGTGGAGCACGAATAGAGGTTCTCTGTAAAAAAGCAAATCATTTTTGTTTTGTTGTTCCATTTCTATCTAGTTTTAGCTATCTAAAACAAACAAAAATAATTATATACTTTTGGGTTCCCACAGTGCCAATATCTTTTAAGCCCCCTGCTTATATGACATGATTCTAGTACAATTTAACATACAAATTGAATGTAAGGTGTAGCAAACCCTTAAAATAATTATATATTTTTACTAAAATAAAGGCTCCAGTTTAGTACAGCTATGTGTACACATACTGAATAGCCATGTCACTCTGCATGATTTACTCTACATTAATTTAATACTAATCCTGAAGAAGAATAAAGACATGACTCTTTTCTCCTTATTC